TTTATTTTTTAATTCTTTGGAATTGTTTAGTCTTATTTAAAATGATTGATTTTCTATTTTTAATTTTGCTTGTATTTTTTTTTTAATTTAAAATACACTTCTGATTTTTATTGCAAATCCCATTGGATTAATATTTAATTTTTTTAAATTCAACAACATAAACACTGCAAGAGGGATTTTAATTCAGTTTTTTTTAATTAGATTTTTTTTTTGTAAATTGTTTATCAAAAAATAATTAATAAAATAATTTGTACTATTTAATGTTAATTGGATTTACATTTGAGTATTTTTATAATTTCGTGTTCGATAAAATGTGTTATTGTTATTCCCAATTTATAATTCATTTTAATTTCACTGCGTCATCATACAGCAAAGTTGTTTCATCTCACAGTCCCCGTCCGCGAGCTCGTTCATCAACCGTCACTCACCAGGTATCCTTGCAGGAAGGGCTCCAGCATGCCCGTGAGGAAGTCCAGGGTCTTCTGCCCCCGTTTTGTCACCGCCATGTCGTGCTGGGTGACGTGCAGCGCTCCGGTCTTCTCCAGCAGGTAACAAGCCTCCTCGAAGTCCTTACAACCAAAACAGTGCGAAAACAATTGACCTTATTTAAAAAATAAATAAATAAATTTAAAAAAGCCACCTTCGTCGGTGGTGCTGACCTGCATGGTGGCTCCAGGACACAGGATGAACTCATTCGAGAAGACGTCCCTCAGGAATCTGAAGCAGTCGAAAACCTCCACTGTAATAATACATCAAAAAAAAAAAAAAAAAAACAAGGCAAACAAATGTCATATTTAATATATATATTAGAGCAGTCACGTGTTGATTGTGACTCACCTTTTCGCGCGGAAGAGGTGGCACGGACGGCCGAGGCAACCAGCGCCGGTCGCAGGAAAACGTGCAGCGCCTGGTTCCGGTAAGAGGCGCAAGAGAGCACCAGCACTGCCCGGCTCAGGAGTTGGTCCTCCGGGGAGGAGGCCGCCTCGGCTGCTCCTGCTGTGTCACGACAAATAGTGAGCTTATATTTTTAAAAAAAATATATTACAAAAATATATATACTGGGGACAAAAGTATTGGGACACGGTCCACCTTTAAAAAGTGAAGAAAATGGGGCGTGGGCTTTCCGATGTCACTGTTAACTGTACGAAATGGAACTTTGTTCATCAATGTATGCCAGTGATGTACCGTGACGGGAAAAACAAGCTCTCGTCACCATTTACCACTGCTTCATGGCTGTGTATTCAACAGATTTCACTCCCAAGTGCATTTGAGACTCGAATGTGCAACTCCTGATTGATGAATCGATTGATTCGGAGGCGTCTCCCAATACATGAGTGGACACTGGTCCCAAACAAACCTTGTTCCAGGTGAACCCGCCCCTCGGAGACCCTCACCAGACCCCCGTGCAGGGCGAGGCTGGAGGACACCACCTCAGATGGATGCATTTGGTCTGAACATGGGAATTCAAACAAAGACAGTCAAATAAACTCTCATTATCTTCAAACGTGTATAATGTGTTTTGAAGTGACGTTCTTATTTAGCCAATTTTGTCTTTCATTCGGCATGTGTACTTTTTTTTGTGAGTGCTAACCACTTGTCTTTTTTGTTGCGTTTTTGTGTTTGTGTGCATATGAATCGGGTCATTGTCACCATGACGACAATGCACCACACTGTACCGGGCCAATGGAGGAAGGCTCCGTACTGCCGGGAAAGGTCTCGCAGCCACACTGCTCGTTCAGTCAGCTCATCCAGCGTCATCGGCGCTTCCTGCTTCTGCAAAAGCAGAGTCGCCAGGAGGACCCACGGCTTCAGCACAGAGTTCTCCTCCTGCGCCCTCACCAGCCTGTAGGCGGTGTTGTTCACAAAGTGCACCGTCTCCTCTCTGGGCCTCGCAGGAATGTGTCTTAAAAAAAGAATAATAAATTAAAATACACTTCTGGATAGTCAAACAAAACTGGGGAGTTCAAACTATATAATCATTTTGTGACATATGTATGGGTTCCTCGTTTGTTACCTGGGCATCAGATTAAACTGACAGCGGTCCACGTGGCCGTGGGCTAAACTCCTGACCGACACGGGTTGACCAAAGTAAACATGGATGCTACCGTAGTCCTCACGCAAGATCTTCCTGGCTTTAAAGAGACCCTGGCAGAAAAGGTAAAACAGTCAAACAGATGATTTCGACTTGCGTTATTTCTTACAAGGAAAATGGTATCGTGCAATGCCGACGACATGCCACTAGGGGGCAGTATTTCCCTGAAAACAACTTCCTGTTTCTTTGCCATGACGCCGGACCGCAGCGGGTGAGTTGTTTGACCTTATTTTAAATTAAAGTAGTATTTTTGACCTGAACTTCTGAATTCACAAATACATTATTTCAACAATTGGGAATATGCGAGCGACTCACCGACGTGGACTCTTTGGGCTTGGGAACGCCGAGAAGCTCCCGGGCGTAGAGCGCCTCCTCCAGGATCCTCTCATAGCTGATGCTGACCGGCACCAAGGACACGTCGAACACCTCGCCCTTGAGGAAGGGCTCCATCACGATGTTCAACAAACCTTGCCGAGAACGCACGCCATATGTTTGGAAACGTTTGGTGAATATGACTTCATTTCTTCTGCTCCTTTCGTCGTCTTCTTACCCAACTTTGGTGTTAAAGATTTGGCCGTTCGACTTCGCGTGCCCTCGAGGAAAAACTCAACGGGAGCGTACCCATTCTGAAAAAATACAATGTCAATCATTAAATCCTCTAATAATTTTGAAAAAGGATCTACAGCATTTGCATTTTTTCCCCTCAATACTGAGATTAACACAACCGAAATAAATACATTTAAAATGGACCCCGTGAGCTCACGTAGGACATTAATTGACCAAGTCCAAAAATGAAGAACATTTTCACTATAGTTACAAACAGAATAATTGTCGTGATAATAGTCACATTTTTCCTTACCTTGACAATGGTCTTGACATACTCAGAAAAGACGGCCCAGTACAATCTGTCGCCACCGAACGAGCGTCGGATAAAGAAAGCCCCGGACATTCGCAGCATCTCGCCCACAAATTTCATCCCCATGAAGTCTTATGGCGGTAGGGGGGGAAAACACACAGGGAGAGTGTAAGTTGTTTACTCGGCGAGGCCTCGTGTAATCTATTACAACATACCCATGCCAGCAGCGATGACGGGCAGGGAGAGGTCGTACGTATACAGGATGTAGGACATGAGCAGGAAGTCCATGTAGCTGCGGTGGCTCGGGAGGAGAACCACCGGGTGCTCTTGGATAGCCTGCTGGAGCTAACCATAAAAAGGGTTGCTAGCTTGATTATTATCATCACAGATGATGCCGATAACTGCCTGAATAAAATTCAGACGACAAATTAATCGGCCGATTAATTAGAATGTAAGGCTCTTACTCTCTGGATGCCTTCCTCGTTCACGTTGACACTATGGAACAACGTTTTGAACACCTTGCTGAGCATGAAGGCGAAAAATCGAACTGTACTGAGCTGCAGGCGGTGAGCCATCTCGTCCAAGATGGCCTCGGCCTCGGCCCGGACGTCGTCCAACGCTTTGCCCGTCTCCTTGGCAACCTTGGAGAAAATTAAGGATGGGATTCATCCATTGTTAAGGAATGTATAATATATCAAGGTACTTGTCATTTGCTTTTTCTATATCAAAGAGGACGGAAAGAATTCAAAGGAGTTTTATTTTTGTGGAGAAAAAAAATGTCAGATGTTTTATTTTTTTGTATTGCTCAGAGACATCTGTAATCCAGTCCAAAAATTTAAGTATCTACCTGATGGATGACATAGTTAACGGGATCCGAGTGCAGCGCGGCGCTCTTGAGCGTGTCCGGCGTGCACGGCGTCAGGCCTTTATAGAGGACGGGCATGAAGCACTTGGCAGCAAATCGGAGGTCGCTGGAGATCCGGCGTTCCTCCAGCATGTCTTCGAAGTCATCTCGCTTTTTCAGCATTGGATCTCCGCGCTGCAAAACAAGAACGCAGGAAATAAATATCAATTAGCTCTGAGGTTTTTCTTTTGACGCATTGTTCCACTCGTAGTATTATCTCCAATGAAGAAGACAGCTCCCATCAACACAACCGAGTGGGTACTGTCCAGAGAGTTGAGAGACAATACAAACGTACAAAAACATATCTTCTTCTAATACATGCGCATGTTGTGAAATATTATCACTGCCACAGTGGACTTTCCACTGTGGCATTATCTCTAGATTTGTTGGGTTGGTTAAAAAAACAGAAACCCTGTGGAATGTCAAATGAAACCTAAAACAAATATACTGTATAAGTACGACTAATTTTACATTAGTTTAAAATATTGTGTCAATATTGGCTTTCACACTGAAAATGAATTACTTTTAACAGGCAATCAGTTCAGTAAATAAATATGGACACTTATCGGAAATACTGTTTCGATTTTGGGAAAAAAAAACATCTATTCTCTCTATCTCTCTCAATTCAATTCAAATATTCGTAACGATGAAGCGCATATTAAACAGTTAATGTCAATATATTTGTGTTAATGCGACTCTTCGTAGCATTACTACAAACGTATTTTTGTCCTTGAGTGTGAGAATATGACTGGTACAGTTAGTCCCGTGGGCTGCTAAATGGAGAGGCAAGTCAAATGTCAAATGTCACACATACAAACTGAGTCGGGTTAGCTTAATCTCCACGATCATCGGTGACGTTTACATACCGTGTAAACAGCTTTGGATGCCATCCTCCCTCACGCGAGGAGCCACGCTGCATCCACCTAGGCTTTTGATTGTTTTTTTACGAGCCGTTCAATTGATAATATACAAAGGCAATATCAGCTTCCAGAGGAGAAACTTCACATGGGCGTTAGCTGCCTTTTCCGGCATTTTGACACGCAACTACGGTAGCTGAGTAGGACCAAACTACACCATTCCTCACACGTGTGCTGCTATCCAAATTTGTCTTGTACAACGACGAGTCGACTACTATCTGTGTTCTTATTTAACCTTGTATCATTAATCTTAAAATGAAGCCCGACAAAAATGGAAATGTTGACGAGGATTGTGCTTTTCTGGAACAAGTTTTGGATTCTTTATACGATTTCGGTAAGTGTAGCTAAGTAGCTAGGTTGTAGGCGAATTTGTTGTTGACTGGTCTGACTCCATCGTTCTTTTACGGTTTGTTTCGCTAACGTAACTAACAGTATATCGCCATTGTTGATAAAGCTAAGACGTGAGACTGTTTTAAGTCAATATAAATATTTATAAGAGCTTTCCTCGTCGTCGTTTGCTATTTTTAACTAGACTCAAAATGAATGGCTTTCTCTGTTAAAATGCATATTGGAAGCTAACTCCTAGCTGTATCTTAAACAAGATAAAATGTGCCAGTTCACTAATATGTGTATGTTAAAAGTTAAATATTAATTTGGGAATTCAAAAACCGAAATGCGGACTGAAATACATAGGTGCACAGTATCTCCTTTTCCTCAAAAATAAATGGCGAACACATAAGAACGTAGAATATACTTTAAAATTATCCCAGCTACTTGGCCGAAGAATAAAATTTACCACTGTTCAAGTGTAATTTACACTATAATTAGACTAATTAATACATGCCTCTTACAGCTAATAATTTATTTTCCCCACACACACACACACACACACACAAAAACGTGAATACTTGATAAGTTCACAAATGATGATTCACGAATTGGTCTGGAAATAAACCTAACTATGATATGTTCCTTTGTTCATGTCGATGCAGGAAGTGGAGCTGGGAAAAGAAAAAAGAAGAAAAAGCAAAAAAGATGCGAGGAAAAACCCCTTCCTGAAGATGCTGCTAATTAATTAACACGCCTTATACCGCTAATATTATATTTTCCACACACACACACACACACACACACACACACACACACAAAAACGTGAATACTTGATAAGTTCACAAATGATGATTCACGAATTGGTCTGGAAATAAACCTAACTATGATATGTTCCTTTGTTCATGTCGATGCAGGAAGTGGAGCTGGGAAAAGAAAAAAGAAGAAAAAGCAAAAAAGATGCGAGGAAAAACCCCTTCCTGAAGATGCTGCTAATGTCTGTAAGTTCGATAAAGACCAAGTTGGAGGACAAGAGTCCTTGGATGTGACTGTCCACGATCAAAGTAAAAAAAACAAAAAACATGCAGCAAATCCCGGAGATCCAATGATACACGCATGGTTTGCACAATGTATCTTATTATCACAGATCCAGCTGTCAAGCCGGTGAGCCAGGTGGAGGTGGTGAGCTTCCAGGACCCCACCAAGAGACAAAATAAGACCACACAGATGCCCACTGTCAATGAAACAATTGTAAGTTTCTTTCCGTCCAACTTTCTCCCCCACAATGGACACAATAATAAGAACACCTCACAAATGGTGCTCTGTTTGTTTTCCGGCTGATCTTCTTTTCATCTCTAGCTACCGGAGACTTCGAAGAAGCAGAGTGCTCCGCAACAGGGTGTCAGTTTGGAAAAGGTAAGGGATTTTATCATTCTAAAAAATGTGTTTTGGTGTGATTTACATTTATATTGTCATCGTATGTGTGTGTGTTAGGCTCGACTGGAGGTCCATCGCTTCGGCATCACAGGCTACAAAAAGGAGCAGCAGCGAGTCTATGAGGAGGAGCGCGCCATCATGTTGGGCGCACGGGTAGGAAGACCTCAGCGTTCCATTAACTCGCTGGTGCTTGCCACATGACTCGCCGCCTGACTTAATGTTGATGCCTTCGTAGCCTGCCAAGAAAAACTGTTTGAACTACAAGGTGCTGCAGCAGCAAATCAAAGACAAGAAGGCAGCGGCGAAAAACGAATTGCAGTCGGTAGGACCCTCAAGATGGCCAAAAGTCAAACAAAAAACACAACATTTAAAATCTTGCTGTGTGGTTGATGTGCTGTTTTGTTTTGTAGGACCTGAGGAAAAAGAAGAAGAATCCAAGGTATGACAATGTTTGCTTTCGAGGGATTTGATCTTTTTTGTTTTGAAATGTGCTATGTCCCAAAAAAAAGCTTTATTCACTTAAAATAGTAAATTGTGAAAAAAAAGTTTTCCCTCAATAATGTTCTTGCGCCAAAGCGTACGTCATCGGCTTTTGAGTAAAAACAAGAACAATTTTAGTGTATTTGAACAGTTGCGTGTACAGATTACATCGCCAACTACTGGCCTGGCATGCATATGACAGCATTATTTTCAGCCGTTTTTTTTTTTTTTTTTTTGCTCCCCCTCGTCACGGACCCCAAAGTCCCTTGTGACGGCACCACTTCCCTCGTCTTGAGCATGTGACGCTGATAAACGACGCTAATGCGAGTGTCCGCCTCCAGCAGGGACAACAGGAAGACGACGACGTCTGGCTCGTCGTCAGCACCCACCGGTCAGGTGGGCCGCTTCAAGGACGGGATTCTGATCCTCAGCCCCAAGGATGTCCAGACCATGAAGGCCAAGGTGCGACGCAAATGAGGTGGGTTGTGTACCGAGGCCAGCCCACTCATCCAGAGGGACTTGTGTGTTAATTGTTGGTGTGCTTCCGCAGGAGAATCTGTTCTTTTTTTCACGTGAAGAAAGGAAGGCTTCAAACTCGGAAGACAAAGGCGGTGTCTGCATTTAGGCGGCGTCTTTTACCTAAAACCAGGTGAGATCGCATCTGGCACGGACCATAGAAAGGTGAACAATGGGTTCGCTTGAAGTCAACCCTCAAAAGTCCAATGATTGACATTTCCGGATTTCGAAACGATGCCAAAGTCAAACGGAAAAGTTGAAATCATCATGTGTGACATCAGTAAACCTCACGCGACTTCAGTTAATATTTGGTGGAGTGGTATTTTTGTGATGAGGGAGGTGAACTGCTCAGTACAAAAATCTCAACGCACCAGATCGCTTTTGTCTTTATTTCATCACAGGTAATTTATTTCTCTCCTTTTCTTTTTTTTTTTTTGAATATAAACAACCAAGAAGAAGACATTGTTTGCGTGTGTATTTGTCTTTGTCTTATGCTCATATACAAACCATTTAGTCGTACAAAACATTCACAGCTTGGCAGGAGCAGGGTGTTGAAATGAGGTGGTTCGGTTCCAAGAATGAATAGTAACAACGAAGTAAATGCGAATTCAGCTCTTTGTATTTACACTTTGAAATAGAAACAGCAGCAACTTGGACGCGGAACAAACTCAAGAGGACGGCGACGTACAAAAAAAAAAAAAAAAAAAAGATGTTTTATCATTTTATCATACTTGCTCAATAAATAATTTTAAATATTCCGACATGCACTCCCTCCCCTCCCCCACATACAGAACCGTAGTTTTAAATAAATATGTAAAGTTTTAAGACATTCATGGACGGGCGGGCGTGAGGTAAAGGGACACGCACTACGACTCGACACACACACACAGCAGCCACCACAAGTCAGAAGCCTTTTGAAGTTGGCATGTAGACAGGCTCGGGCTCTCGTCACAAACATCGGAACCCTCGCTCGAGCCCTTTCACAAAGGCGCTCGCTAAATATGCGCCCTTGGATCAAAGAATCTGGGCCGCTTCCTGGAAGTGAAATCTGGGTTCCACTCTTGTGGGAAGACTTTTGAACAAGATTTTTGGTCTGGGATGTACGAAAGAGGTCGAGCATGAGATGATGGCATGCTTGTAAGGACCTGGAATTCTAAAGGGGACCCCCCCCCCCCCCAAAAAAAAATTTTCCAAAAACATCTTGATAAGCAGAATTAAGAGCTTTGGAATTCCTCCAACCTGAAATGAATCAATCATTTATTAAGAGGCAACTCTTGATCCTTTTGACCAAATCATATCGACAGGATTAGATGTTTGTCTTGTTGGAGGTCGAGCAGAGCCGACAGGAGTCATCAAACTAATAAAGTTGAGTTCACCCTCCAAATAACGCCGGCGTGGTATATTGTGCGCTATTCAATCGGTTTCCTCTCATAGTAATGGATCGAATAGTGTGTGTGTGTGTGTGTGTGTGTGTGTGTGTGTGTGTGTGTGTGTGTTAAAGTGGAATGCAATGGCTCTTGATCGGCGTGCATTTGAATTTGAACAAGTGTGGCTGGATGCCGGAGTGGCTGTAATTTCTCCGGCAGCCACTTGAGGGCGAGCTTTCACAGCAGTTGGCAGTAAACAAGAAATGATGCAGGAGGCTATTTACAACGCAGCTCGAGATACAGCAGAGGACTTTGTAAACTTGGTTGACCCCCACACCCCCCCTAAGTCTCCGAAGTTGGCCGAGGAGCGCAGTTCTTATTTACACCTTCCGTCCGTCAGACAGACAGGACCGCTGCGCGACGCTTCGTAACGCCTCCAATCCTATCCGCGCTGCGATTATGTACGCAGTCTCGCACACTCTCGTGTGAACTCGAAGCAATTCGGTTCAATGAGAAGAAAACTTGTAGCGGGTGATTGCAAAGTGGCTCAGTGTTCTCTTTCATGTCACAGTGATCTTTTTTTTTTTTTGCAGCGGCACGTCTTATCCGGTGCCGCTGTTGATCGATTCAAGGCAACGCTGCAGAGAGTGTGCTATAAAATGACCACGAGGTGACCAAAAAAAAATTATCAGCGTTGTATATTAAATATTCACTTTTTGTCTAAGGAAATAAGTCTGCTTCACCCCCCCCACCCCCTCGCAGACATATCACTGATGCTGTTTGAGGGAGAAAGACGCTCGTCCCCCATACGTCTCATCGAGTAGTGTGCGCAAGCGGATGCAAAGCTTCTTCAATGCTCTAATCCAGTTTCTCAAAATTTCCAACTGAGCAGTTTGAGAGCTCTCTGACACAGCAAGCGTTGTCGTTGTCATATAATAGGTTATTATTATATGAGTAATGTTTTATAAAAGTTTGTATTGTGATATGTCATACTTCAGTTGATTGACAGGTCCCGCCTATAAGGGGGAGTTCCAGGGAGTAACTGTTAGAGTGAGCGCACCGCACGTTTTACTGCTCTGCCGCATTGCTATTAAAAACCACTCAAAACGTGAACCTTGCCTGCTGACTATTATTACAGTCGTAGTTGACGAAATCGAAAATAAAGGTTGTAATTTGTCATCCCGTGGCAGGAAAATGACACGGCACTAAGCACAAACGGCCTCCCTGCGGCCTCACGAAGACAAAAGTGACAGCGCGGCCGCAGTTGAGCCCGTGAATATTTTACGGCGGCGACGACTCGAGTCGCTGTTTGAACGCCGACGAAAGCCTTCGCCGCCGTCACCTTTAAAATGCTTTTCTCGTATGTTTGCTTGCTCAAGGCACCGCGTTGTCGGATCTGGATGCAAAAAGACCCCCCCAAGAAAATGTAGCCCTGCAGTCTGCTTAATTGTGCGCGTGGCCTTCCGACGAGTGCAAGGAAACCGCCCGCGTTAAGGTGTGGCTGACGGAGCGCAGACTTGAAATTACATCGACAATACTCTATGAGAGGCGATGACGCAGACGCGTCGGGAAAACCTCGAGACGACCGCGCCGTCGACATCGTTGGCGTGTACGTAGGGGGCCCTCAGCGGAGGCGTCGTCTACTGTTTGAGGTCCCTCGGCACCTCCAGGCCCGTCACTAAGGTCACCTAGAATGAGACGGACAAGTAAATGAGAAGCTCTTCCATACTTTCTGTGGCCTTTTTGCGGGTCGACCATGCACCTCCAGGATTTTACAAACTGGCTTCGGTGTTTGAATATCGCTAATTAATTTCAAAGAGTGGCCACCTGGACATTTCTGTTGAGGCTGACGGCGGGTACAAAGACGCCGTCCAGGTTCTCGAAGGCCGTCGGTCCGTGTTGTTCCTTGTTGATGAAGAATGTCAGGGTGTGCTTGGTCAGATCCAGGAGGATGCCCACCGCCGAGCCCTTAGTGATGCCACCCTCTGCCCTGCACAAAAGAGCCAAGCGTGAATCTCTTGAGGGTCTCGCGCCGGTCCTGTAGTTTTGGTCGGAATCCCCGCGGATGGATCCGGTCCGTACCTGTTGGTGTGTGAGTTGTTGTGCATGAACCAGGAGCGGTTGTTGTCCACATACATGGCCCAGGCTTTGTCATCCTTGCCCAGCATCATGTCCTTGACCGTGTTGATGCGGGCGATGCCAAACGCGGGGTCTGGGTGGTTGTCGTAGCGATCAATGCACACCTCCCAGTAGTGGATGCCCTAACATCAAAGCGGGCGACATGAATACCTCTCGAGGATAGTGTGTGCGAACTTCCGCCAAGGCCCAAGAATGAAAGAAGTCAACCCGTGAAAGCTTTGTGGGTCATGTGAGCTTGCTGAGTAAGAAACATGCAGGACTGTAAAAGCCAGAACTTTTCTTTTTTTCCTCAGCAGGAGGTTAAAAACCTCACCTTGGAGAAGGCGGCGGTCCCGAGCACCACGCGGTCGTCGTAGCTGTTACACGACACCGTCTGGTTCTCGTTGGTCAGGACAATGTCCCGGTGAGCCGAGGTAGGGTCAAAGGCGAAACAAGCCACTGTGGAGGAAGACGTAGTCGTGATTCAGCGAGCGGTGACTCAACCGGCGTCGCATTTACTTTTGGCCAAAAGGGGACAAGAAAGCGCGGAGGAGTGAAAATCCGAGTCTGGCGCCTGTCGTGAGTCAACGAAGCCTGTCTGGCGGAACATTTGGGACTGCCTGCGGTAACGTCAGAGACACAGTTGGTGTCTTCAAGAAATCGAACGTGCCGTTGTCATCTGGCAAGCGACGTGAAAGCTGATGTGCCCAGTCCAGTAAATGAGTTCGAGCACACAAATAATGGCCGCAATTTTTTATTTATTTATTTTTTTTTGCAACTGATAACAGCTTCCTCGATTTTTGTGTGTCAGTCGTCCTTTCTTGGAGAGAAAAGCAATTAGGATGCGTCTGAGCTCAGCAGACAACAAAAACACAGTTTGATAGAGCTTATTGCTGCTCTGTTGAGTCTTAAATAGAATTTAGTACAAAAATAAATAGGCTGCAATTTTTAGATTTGAAAACGGGCATGTTTTCGGTGAAACATATGTCAGATAAAAACCCACTAAAGACAACCCAGTTTGACACGAAGGCAAAATCTGACAGCTTGACTGCAACGGAGGTTTTCAGTTTTTGGTGTGAAAAGACGCCATCTGTGGCCGGAATGGGCATCCGATTATTTCTTTGATCGACCGTTTCGAAAAACATTTACCGACTTCTGTTTTCATGCTAATCTGCATACGTCAATCTTGTGTTGTGATTGATTGCGTTTTTTTTTTATTCTCTTGTCCTCTCTAAAAAGCACTGATTGATCTGCCATTTAAATTTTTTTGGGGGGTGGGTGTTATGAAAAGTGTAGTAGGAAGTAGTTAGCTCCAACTTGGGTACCGTCGGAGGTCTTGAGCACCACGGTCTTGCTGTAGGGCCCCACGCCGACGGCGTTGTAGGCCTTCACTCTGGTGTTGTACACGCTGTTGAAGTGGAGGCCGTCCACTGTGCACACCGTCTCCTTACCCACGTACACCTCCTGTGCAATCAAACGCTTCGTAAAGCCGAACGTCACAAGAATACATCTGTATGTGTAAGATTTTGATTTCATGAAAAATGAATGGATGAGCCAAAAAAAAAATGTAAACTGAGCATGTCCTCTGAGTGAGCGTGTCACCAACCCTGTACTGTCCCCCGTTGCCGTCGTCCAGCTCCAGAATGTAGCCCTCGATGGGCGCCGCTTGGGGCCCGGCGACCCTCCAAGCCAGGGTGGCACTGTTGTTGCCGCTGCAGCACTTCTCCAGCTGCAGGAGGGGAGCCGGCGGCACCAAGGGTCCCGACTCCACTGGGAGGGTGGTGGGAGGGGGAATAATAGTTTGGTATCCCATTGCATTTCCGGTTCAAAGACAAACGGGTTGATCCGGTGTGCTCGGGTGGCGTAAACGAGGAGGCTCTGGAGGATTACGAACATTGCTTTGAGGAATCAAGTCGGGTCGATTCGTAGGGCAAACATCGGAATGGGCGGAGGAGGAACACAAACGTGATTTTCACGCTGATGTGGCCAATAGATTTTAAAATGTTTTTTTACAAATGGAATATATATCAGAGGTGGGAACCACGGAGGAACTTGCGAAAGCAGATTCTTACCATATTCTACAATCATCGGGATGGGCGAGGACCGATACCAATTACTGTGTTATCGGGCCAATATCGGTTTGATTTCAAGGTATCGAGTTCGTAGTTGGCGTGATACTGCCTTCTCTTAAGAAACAAAGAAAGGGCTTTGTTCACCATCATCTGTTACTGTGTTATCGGAAATTTGATGTATCGAAAGTACTCGCGGTATCGGTAATTAGTGAGTGCTCGGAAGTGGACAAACAAAAGTGGTATCAAAGACCCCTCTGCCGTAATCAACATTGGATTAAAAATCAGATACCATTCATCACCGTATCCACAATGAAGTGGCAAAACACATTCAAACTTCAAAGAAAATAATCTAAAAATACCCCTTTTTTTCCTCCCGCGTATCCTTCGGGGGAGTGCTGAACATAACAACCATTCTCTAAAAATATTTTTTTTCTTGAAAAGGAGAGGGAAGGCAGCAGTCAAGACGAACAATATGCACATCGAGATTCATTATATGAAGATATCAAATTTGCATTTATAGCCATGCTGGTTCTGTTTCTTCTCTACCACAGCATTTTTGGATTTGGGGGCGGGGCTTACACATTTCTTCCAATTTGTATTTAAAAGCGAAACAGACGACCACTCGAGGCTATAAATTTCTGTGCTGTCGGTTCTTTTCGGTGCATTCCAGAGAAGGGAAGTGCCAACCCGAGGAGGGGCGTTTTTTTTTTTTTTTTTTTTTTTTTTTTTTTTGCTTGAAAAGAACAAACCATGCGTGAGTGGGTGTCGGGGACGGGAAAACGAGTTTCCAACCACACTAGACTGGGAGTGCTTAGGGGGGTGTGGGGGTGGTGGGAAAAGAGGTCGGGGACGACAACTCCGTGGAAATAATACCTCCTGGACTTTGTGCGTCGGCATCAGCTCCAGCACTGTCCGCTGCCTGCCGCTGCATTTGTTTCAATAAGGGGCCGTCCTGCACGTCTGCAAATACCATTTTGAGGATAATGCACACACTAGCGTCAAAACGTCTGCCGTACAAGTGCCGGAAATGTTCAGAATGCAACGTGCGGTCATCCCAAAAACGAATCATTCTGAGCGTGATTCGAACAGGCAGCCTTAAATTGAATCTCGGGATCTGGCGGCCGTAGCGCTTTGAACAAAGGTTGACGGGGAGAACGCGATCAGTCACTTTGAATATGACGGTGCGTCATAAAGGCTGCCAAACAATGCTCGCTCCTCATTCTTCCGACTTGGGAGTCGTACAGAAACAGTCTGAAGGAAGAAATATTTAAAGAGCCATGCGGATTCTGTTTGTGTACCTTTGCCCTGGCAGAAATCCAGCTGCAGGATGGTCTGCAGGAGCGTGTCGGTGTTGAGCGTGAGCTGAAACTCGGGGCCCACCTTGGCCTCCAGGTTGCCTTTGACCCACTGGTCCTGCGACGACGCCACGCGCTTGATCAGAGCATCCGAAATCTGTGGGGGGGGGGCGTCAACAAGCGGCGGCAATCAATATTAACGCTATAAGGCGCCCCTAAAAGTATTCAAATTTCTCAAAAGCCGGCGGTGCGCCTTATAATCCGATGCACCTTCGATGTGGATCACTATTCAGATTTTTTTGGCGGTAGTATTTTAAGAGTTTTTTAAAACACGTTGTGAAGGCTCAATATAAATGAAGATGTATTGTATTGTATTCCCTTTAGCGTTGCTCCATCTAATGGATGCATAACACAACCGCAGCCACTATTGTAGCTTCTATTCTATGCGCCTAATAATGCGGTGCGCCGTATATATGAAAACAGTTTTTAAAGGCCATTCGTTGAAGGTGCGCCTTATACTCCGTAGTGCGGAAAATACGGTAAGAACCCTTGTGATTAGCAATCCGTTTTAGCATAACCGTTAGGCTCTAGCTAGAACTCCAAAACACCGTTGAAGACAGACAATATACCAATGCGCATATTCTTTATCCTCGGCAAAAAAAAACGACAAATATTATTGCAGTTACTGAGTCATTTACAGTAGAATGCAATTTTTTTTTCTTGTTGCTATCCGGGCCATTCGTCTTACCTGGAGGAAGCCACTGGGGTCGTTCTCCTTGAGGACCTCCAGACAGTACTCCATCATGCCCGTGGTCTGCCGCAGCTTCATGGTGCAGTGGGTGATCTGGTCGCGCGCCACCTGATGGACGACAATGGAAGTGTAGCCAGTGAGGGGGTTGAGGGAGGTAATTAGATTTTGCGCATATCGAATGGGAAATCCTACTCGGTGTCAGAGGATGTTAAGGCATGCTTTGAGGCTAATTATTTGTGAAGGTTAGCGGTGTTCTCGTAAAGACTGCGCGGTCGAGCAAATTGATCCACTTGTACACGAGTAAGACAAACCTTTTGATTTTTCTGTTATCTTTCAGCTAGAAAGAATTAAAAAAAAAAAAAAAGCTTCTATCTTTGAGAGTCCTTCTCATTTCATGGCCGCATTAACGAGCGCAGTCCGAAAATGAGAAGCGATGTTAATTAGCCGCAGTCACGCGCATTAATTTGACGGCTAATGGATCATGCTTGATTATTCACCTGTCAGCGGGACAATTGTGAGCGGCGTGAAAGAGCTGCGAGGCAATCGTGCGGTGCCTTTTCAAACGGAACTCCAATTTCAAATTTGATCACGCCAAAATAATTTGGTGAGACTTTGAAAGACGAACGCGTTGCTTTAAAGGGATCAAAGTCGACTTGAGCATGTTGTTGGGGGAAGTGTGGGGGGTGGGAGGGGGAGAAGACAAAAGATAATCCAGTGTGAATAGATTTTCCAGCCTGGAAGGGTTGTCGTTATGTAACGCTGAAGCGCAGATGCAAGTTTGGTGGTGACGCGGTTGTGTGGAGAGATTTTAGTGGGAGTTGTGTCAGGCTGAAGTGCGAAAAGAACAGCTGGACGCTTTTGACAGAAAAACCTTTCCATGGGAAGAATCGGTTGTTTTGGACTGACAAAATTAAATAAACTGTGCAGAATTCTGACCCTGTTTTATGAAAGAAAGTTTTTTGGGGTTTTTTTTGGGGGGGGTTTGTTTAACTGCTTTTTTAGATTTGGTGCTTGAGCAAGCTGCTGTTGTCAGTCGCCAGTCTTCAAATTTTGTTTGACCTTTTGTACATTTTTCACCGGGTGAGCGTGGACGACGGTCTCGCCCAGCTTGTTTGTGAAATTCAGGTTTGTAGGGCACTCCACTGACAACAAAATTCCAGTCGATGCTGACGTTGCATCGCTTCGGATTTGAGATCAGCACAGCTTTTGAGTTGACGATCAAGAATTTTTTTAAAATGTTAAAACGAAAGAAAAGCTAACAATAATTAAAAAAAAAAAAGACCTGACTTGAACAGAGTTTGTTTTTGTCTGGTTTGAGCAAAGTATGTGTCGCTGTAGTTTCCAGAAAGTATAAAAGATGATTTAAGGAATGAATGGCCGGCGGCATGTAAAAAAGCTGCACTTGAGCTATACAGTGCGTCGGTCACTGACGCGACCTAAATATCGATTTGTGCCGACCTCGCATCCGGTCAAATGGATGTGCTATCAAATTGCAGTGTTTATTTTATCGCTTTCCCTCCCGACTGCCATGGATCAATCGTCTTTGTTTGTGGCTGGAAAGCTATTGATTTTGAATAGCGTTTGTGACAAATGAAAGGAAAAAAAAACCTTACCTTCAGCTTGTATTCCTTCTCCTTGGTGACCTTTGTCAGGAGTTTGGCTTTCTGTCGGGTCAGCGCCTCGATCAGCGAGTCACACTGAGCCACCAGGCAAGCCTCGAACTCCACGCCGTTCTCCTGTGTCACGCAAAAGCAACGTTTAGACATCCTAATCCAAAGTGACGTTTAGGCAAAAAAAAAAAGGGAAGCTCTTCTTTTTTTTTTTTTTTTTTTTGAGTTGACTGTCAACCCAAATTCTGAGACATTTATGAAAAAAATGCATCAAGTGAATTTTATGCGAGGGTTAGTGTGGGTAGCTTTTGTATGTATTGTGGCGTCTGGGTTTCTGCACTCAGGGTCAACAACGAGGCGCTCTAAAGTGGCCACATATTTTTCAGGGTGTAGGTGCCTCCCCCCCTTCCCACTCAAATCTTTCTCTGTGTGATGCGCGCACACTCACAGTTGATAACGAGGCACTCTAAAGTGACCATGGCAGCCTAAAGCCCTGGTCCAAACACCGGTTGTTGGACTAACAAAAAAATAAATAAAATCCCGGCTCCTCAATTTTCCATCTTTCTTCGTGTGATGCGTGCGCACTCGAGGCCAACAACGTGGGCGCTCTAAAGCAGCCACACCAGTGGACTATCGAAAGGGTAGATGCATTTTTGTGGTGTATTTAGCAACAAATCTCTGGATTCTTTACAGGCTCTTAAAAATGTCTGAGCTGGGGAATATATAAAAAAAGCTCTTTGTAGAAAGAATCTCCTTTATTTTAATTGATGGCACAGTGCTGTTATTGCGTAACACATTTTAATCCTCCTTCCACCAGTCGTAATGCAGGTGCTTGTCGTCGTACAAAAATGGAGTAAAAAGCGGATTAATCGTGTACTTAGTGTGGCAGTGAAGCCCACAGTCACAGAGGAGGACGCGTCCGTCCCCCCTCCCCCAAAAAGGGACTAATTAACCTTGAGATGACTCGTTTTAATCCGCCACGTGACTTGGTTGAATTCAACAGACGAAAATTGCAAATGTTGCGCGGACAAACCAGGACGTCTGTTGATTTCATGCTGGCCTCGCCGGTCCTCGGGCGACGGCAGCAAGGTCAGCGTGTTCGCTCTGCTGCGGCGCGAGTGCATTGCTAGCACAATTATTTTTTAAAAATATGGTTACATCAATACTCCCCCCTCCCAAAAAAAAAAAAAAAAAAGACATTTTATGACATCATTACCTGGATCTGCTGCAGCATGTTCTTGAGTTGAACCAGAAATTCTTTGGCGTCTTTGGCTTTGTCCGAGACGCCGTTGAGGGCCTGCGAGAGTTGACACTGCAAGAAAAAAAAAATGGATGGATAGCTGGACAGACGTCGAGCTGTGTCTTATTTTTTGGGGGGAGGGGGGGTGTTCGAGCCTCTCATTGAAAAAAGAAAGGACAAAGGGAAACATGCCCACACACGTGCCCAATAGTGATAAATCAAGTCCGCCGTGGCGCCACCCACATGATCCACCTGCTCCTTCTTCCTCCACTCAAACACCCCCCCCCCACACACACACAGAAAGAAGCGTAAAAGACAGTTGATGCTCGACACACATGCAAAGCCAGTTGAGCAAAATCAGCCAATGCAAAAATATGACCTAAAACATGTCAGAACATCTCACTGGGAATTATATAATTGACACACGTGGGTAAAATGGTCTATAAATTTCTTTCTAATCTCCTGGGACACTTTGCTTCCTCTGGTCCATGTTTAGTGTGGCACACACCATGGCAGCAAACAACAGCAAAGTCACCCCCTTTACATCGGCTGAGTAAATGATGACAAGTATTTCATTTTTTGTCCGGGCCTATTGCGTGAGTTTATTGAGGAAAGGGAATCTGGTGAACCACCATTCAAAATAATCAAAATTCATAAACGATTATTAAAAAAAAAAAAAAAATAATCCCAGCAACCATTGTACACCTTGTATATGAAGCCGTAATTGGCGTCTATTATACATTGATGATTTTTTTTTAATTTGTTTTTTATTTTGCTATTCGCCGGCCTGCCTGGTCCCTGTCCGCTGTACATCCTTCCATGCCATACGCAGCCAGTCGATGCTAGCAACGGATTTTCAAAACTCATTAACATTAACTGCCTCCTAGGAGAGGGACTTAAGTCATCACATGTATGGTTTTTATGTTTTATTCATCATCGGGCCCTCCTTACTTGCGCCCTTAATGCGCCGCGTCGATAATCCGCGCCACACGTGCATGACTTGACCACGCACACACATTATAGGGTGGTTTCCCTCCCCCCCCTCGGGCGCGCCGGGATGACTTGATGAGTCACAAATCAAGTGCACCCTTCGGCAGGCAGCGCTCGTCGCCGTGGAGACCATCTGGCCCACCGAGCTGTCGGGGCCCCGCGCCGGGTTGCGCGCCAAGGCTTTGCTAACAAGCGAAATGACGGATGATGAGGGGCTTTCCCTCGATCGTCATCGCGTTTGCCTCATGAGGGGTGTGTTTGATTTACTCAACTGGGTTGCACTTTTTTTTTTTAACTCCCCCCCCCCTTTTTTTTTTTTTTTTTTGACCTTTCAGTCACATCCCATCATCTTCTCATGTGGACCAGCACAGATGAAGTTGTTGTGCATCGGCAGTGCTTCATGCTCTATGGAACTTGAAGCACAGTCCGGGTAGTCGTGGAAAGGTGTCAGGGGTTATCCTCGAGCCGAAATGGATGACCACGGGAGGAGAACAAAAGGCTGTCGACGCCCTTCCCAAATGCTTGACCTTAATGTCAAAACGACTGCCGGAGTAATCGGCAAGGGGGATGGGGGGGGGGGCATTTACGACCCTCACCCGTGCCACTTTTATTTCTCCTCATTTGTGTGTTTGTGCTGCTATTCTGCTTTCCGTTTGGGTGAGTGGACACGGCCTGTTTTGTTAAAAACGGACAATTTTATTTACTGCATCACAATGTCACTCTCGAGATGCAACGCGTTGTATACGGTCATTCAAAAGTCAATTTTCCAGAATACAATTCCAGACGTGAATTGGAAGCTGTCAATGCGAATTCGCAATTTCGACTTCATGTGGCTTTTTTTTTGCCTCCTCGGCGACAGCTGTGTTCCGGCATTAGCGCGTCGCACGCCGGCGCAAGGTCAAAAACAATCTGCTCTCTGCCCCTTCGTCCTCGTCATCCTCTCATCTGCCCTCGACTCGCAATCCTTCGCTGCTTTTTTTTTTTTTTCTCCTCCTCTCGAAATGCGCCTCCACATCCACACACAAAGCAAAGCGCCAGTTCCGGATCACTATGCGAGTCCCTCGGTAGAACTCCAAAGTACTTTTCAGGGAGCTCGAATTCCGGCTGGCACGTAACCATGGAAACACCCACGGCTCATTGTTCCACTACTGGCATATCCTTCTACGAGGCCTGCCGTAGAGTTACCCAAAATAAATCATACACACGCTGGGCTATATTTGGTGGGTTGCTTTTACACAAACACACACACACACACACACACAAATGCGCACACACACACACTCACTGACACTCACACACAATGTTTGCTGTGTAGGCTGTGAGCGAGAGGAAGGAAGTGCAACAAAGTGCACATTAACCTACATTCAGTGCTCGAGTCCGCCAGAACTGCCTTGAGTTATTGTACTGTAATCCCCCACCACCACACTACTCTTGCACCCTCTTAACAACGAGGCGCTCTAAAGCCGCCACGCCAGTAGCCTCAAAGAAAGGCGCTCAAGTCCATACAGAGTAGTGGAGTGTGCGCGTGAGATGCTGCCCCCCCGAGGTAAAAGGCGAGTAAGGCTGACCTGTTTCGGTCTTGCCATCTGGAACGTTACCGGGCACACTTCTGCTCTTGTTACCATGGTAACAGCATCTCGTAACAACCTGAAGTGCTGGATTTAATTCCACACATCTATCCTCAGAGTTCGAGATTTTACTTTTCGTGGAAGCGTGAGTACGAACCAATTCGTGAATTTTTGCTTCATTTGAACTATTTGGGTGGGGGGGGGGGTAGAAAAAAAAGAAGAGGAATTTTGAAATGTAGGATTCGGACCAAATGCAGTGGAGCTACCAAGACGTGATTGGACGTTGTATAAATGAGCATATCTTATTCATGTGATGCTTAGAGACGACCCCTCTCCCACTGTCCCCCTGATGGGATTTTTACGGTCCATTTATGAGGGGCCTCTACTTGGGGGAAGGGGGGAAGCAAAATGAGGAAGAGACAAAAAGACACCATTAGGGAAGGGAAGGTAAAAGTGACAAATGGATACGATAAAGAAAAAATATATTGCATATTCAAAAATTTTATGTACTCCTCATAACGCTGAAGGTGAGCCCCCCCCCCCTCCTCTCTTTTAACTTAAGAATCACTGTAAAGATGAAAACAAATGTCTCGTAAATTGGAAAACACCACAAGCTCTTTCGTGTTTCTGTGCTGGACGTGCGCACACTCATGGCCGACAATGAGGCGCTCTAAAGCGCCCACGCCAACAGACTCTTCGAAACACTCAAAAAATGTCGCTTGACGGGGTCTGTAACCTTGAGGCAAATGTCAGAATTAGCCGGTGAAGAGAGTCAGGTTCGAGAAATTCTGTATGTCGCCATGGTAACAGACTGTGAACATAAACTGGTCGCTCGCTAGCAAGCAGACTAGTTGTTCATCTCTATCTATGTATATATATTGAGAGAGAGAGCGAGATATAGTTGTTTTAGATGCTCTACTTTTTACATCTCAATGGGTTGGATTTAGTCTAAGAGGAAACTGCAGAACGGCGAGTTTCCATTTTGTTTTTTTCATTGACTGTCATTTTAAACGACGGCAAGTTCCGATTTTCGCACAGATCTGAGTTACGTCACCCATGTAGGAACTCGATCGTAAACCGAGGACCACCATTCCTTTCCTGCACGACGACGCGGCGTACCTTGTGCTGCTTCCACATGAGGGCGATGGGCTTGACGTCGTGTTTTGCGTGCCGTCCCTCCTCGGCGCACTTTGCGCACACGGGCGCCCGGCAGTTGCAGCAGTACATGACGAAGTTCTCCGCTTCGTGTTCCGCGCACGTCGCCGGCTTCCGCGCGGTAGCCGGCGGCTGTCCCGCGGCCGCGCAGGAGGCCGCCTGGCCCGGCCGCTGCTGAGGCGGCGGGACCAAACGGTGCTTGGCGAGCGGGCCGCGGGACGGGTGGCACCGCTGCTGGCAGGCGTTGCAGTAAAACACGTCACATTGCTCGCACATGACCGCCGCGTCCACCGGGTTGCGGTCACACAGCTGACACTTGGCCGCCGCCCCCGAGGCGGCGGAGGCAGAGGCGGCGCGGTGCTGCCGGTACCGCGCCACGATGGCCTCCAGGAGCCGGTTGCGAGGCAAGCCGCGCAGCCCTCGCTCGTCCAGGGAGACGCTGCGATGGCAAAGCGGGCAGGTGAGCGAGCACAGCCGCTGCTGCTGCTGGTGGGGGTGCTGCGGGGCGGGGAACACCCGCACGCCGTTGGGCGACTTGAGCTGGCACGGCGTGTAAGAGCCGTAGCCGCTGTCCGTCTCGCTGTATAGGCTCATCTTGTCCACGTCCAGGTAGTCGTACTCCGAGCTGACCGCCGACGCGCGGCTCTGCTGCACGGCCGCGGCGGGCTCCCCGTCCGGCGTGTGCACGCTGATACTGCGCGCGCACTGCAGGCAAACGTTGTGGGAGCAGGGCAGCAGGACCGGCTCCTTAAACAGGGAGCCGCACACCGGACATTTCAGTTCTTCCTCCATCGCGCCCGGTCCAAAGACTTCCAGCACCGAACGTCTGCGGACAGCTCTCTGGCAGGCGGGTCGTGCGCATGCGCGCACGGCCAGCGAAGGGAGGGGCTTGCTTGAGCAGACGTTGATGGATGGCTGCAGGATTTGAACACACAACAGGAGAAACCACACTGAAGGACACAGAGCGGGTTTCTGTCTTCTGAGGTGATACCTGAAGATTATTTCACATTCGAAATCCTACAAAATCAGACGTGAGTAAAAGAAAATGAGGTCAGCCCCTTTTATGAATGGAAAAACCATGTTGCTGTTCTGCATAAACGGCAACAAGAATGGTTTTTTTTTTTCTGCAGAAGTTCCTGCACTCCGCGATGGAAAATCTTATACAGGTATGAACTCTGCAAGGGGTGAAGCTACAGGGGAAGTGGAAATATAACAGCCCAAAATCCAGATACAGTTGCATACTAGGTTTGGTTTACAGAACACCAAGGAAGCAATTGTCCAATCACTACTCCACTTTTTACATGACTGTGTGTGAAGTTTAACACCTGATATCGTGTCCCTATTTCATACCACAAACCAGACGCTGATGTCATCTATACTGTATATCTGACTGCAGGTTTTCAGCATGCTGCAAGAAACCACTCCTGGATTGTATGTGCCATGCGGAGGAGAAATTCCGACTCTTCTGTTACAACTCTCGTGCTGGCTTTTTGTGTCAAGTGAGGCATGTGAAAGCAACACATGAGTAATCCCCCGGACACACATCCCTGAATGAATTCCTCCACTCGAGCGTGGTCCGATTTGCTCCTGGCGCAGAATTCCCTCAGCGTGAGCGATCATAACGAGGCGGGAATCGTGTGCGGTGAGTAGACTAAAATTAGCCGCGCAAGGAGTACATTTGACACACTTGTGCATTCATTCGCGCAGGGGAAAGGTAATTTTGGCTTTTGATGTGTTGACACTGCCACAAAAGGGTACCGGTGATGCCAATTAGAATCAGGGTAGTGATCAAATTTGGGTACTTGATCATCGTAATAAACACATCGATATCGGGTGTTTTGAGGAAAAAAAATAGGGATTATGGTGCGGTTAATAAATTCCCAAATATTTGTAAAAAGATGTTAATTATTACCGTGTGCATGCGTTCAAAACTAGTATAGCAGTTAGTTGTTTAAATGTGCAGTGATACCTTTTCATATCCCTCTTTTGTATCCATTCGTCACATGATTCAAGAATATTCTTTGATATCGTATACGCCACTAGCAGACATTGTCCATCAAAATGTGAGCAGTCTTATCTTAGTAAAGGCAGAATTGTTGTGTTGCTCTCTTTCGTTTAAATTACCCACCTTGAGGACCAAACTTCCACCTGGTCAATCTCATGTCATTCAAGATGAAATGTAATTTCCTATACATGCCACAAGATGGCAGCAAAGGACTTGTGTCCTCATTGTAGTTGTGACGATCTTAAATTTGTCTCTACAAGACAATACTGCCCTTTGATAGCCAGGTTGCATTCACAAGAAATAGGCGTACTGTATGTTGGTTCACTGTATTTACGGCAATTTTCCCAAAAAATTTCAGGTAATTTTCCACCCCTTCATTCCTTTTATTCAAGTCCAATGGGTGAAAAGGGAAGCATAGAGGAGGTCAGACAAGAGACGTGGTGCTCTCTGGGTTGATCCTGACGGGCCGGGTGCTCTTGCGTAATTCCCGCAGCTGCTTGGCGGGCTTCCCCACGGCTTCCTCAAAGCGGCGCTCCACCTCGGGCAGCACGCAGTCGTGCAGGAAGGCGGCATTCAGCACCACGAAGGCCTTCTTGTCGGCGTCCTGCTCGCAGCGCAGGCTGTAGTCCACGTGTTGCACGGCCACCACCACGATCTCGCGCAGGCTCTCCAGCAGCACCGTGTGCAGCTCGGGGAAGTAAAGCTTCAGGGCCTCTTCCAGGAAGCTCAGCAGCTGCTTGGTGAAGGCTACCAGCGTGTAGCTCAGGTTCACCCAGCAGTCGGCGCCCGTGTACGCGTCGAACGTCGACATGCCGCTGGCGCGCATCTCCTCCTGCGTGCAGACGAAAAAAAAAGAGAGTAAATCAAAACTTCTGTTGTATTTTAAAACCTATCGATAATCATTGACATGTGGGTCATGGGTGAGCTCCATACTACAGTAATGTAGCGTTGCCGACATTAACGCTGCAGTCACTTTTCGATGACGTCATCCTTGCCTCCCTCTCCGGGCATGACCAATCAAGCCACGCTTGATCCAACTGTTCCCATTCGAGTTGTGATCACCTTGAGCTTGGCGAGAGCCTCCGGCGTCATGAGGTTCATCCGTCTCCACATCTCCTCAGAATTGCGATGCTTGGTGGCCTCGACAATGACGTCTTTGTAGCTGAGCAGGGCCGCTTTCACGTCCTTCACCAGCAGAGACTCCAGCGTGAAGGTCAGGTCCAGGCCGATGTCGGTCAGCTGGAGGCAGTGCTCCTTGGCCACTTTCACACACTCGGACGCCGTCGACAGGTTCTCCTTGCTGTCGAACACCTTCATGCCACGCCCCGACATCGTCAATGATTAGACCAAAAAAAAAAAGCAGCTAATTTAATGGAACGAACGTTCCAGAACTGTTGATCATGTAAGTGATTGACGGGTCGGATTAAAGAAAGTAGCGTAGGCCATATTTTGCCGACCCCCGGCCTCACCTGTTTGCTGAAGGCGTCCACAAACATCCTCATGGCCGATCGGGACCACGCCACGAAGGCCGAGTAGCAGCCCGTGTTGCCGGCAAAGTCCATCTGGAACTCCTTGGCCGTCTCCAGCAGGCCCGTGAAGAAGATGTTGCAAAGCTTGTGGATGTAGAGCAGCGTGGCGCCCTCGATGCGCAGCTGCCGGATGGCCGTGTGCACGGCCGCCGCGCGGTTCTTCAGGAACAGCTCGCACGCCTTGGTGGACTGGCCTGGGAACATTCAGTTTTTGTCGGTATGCCGTGTTGCCGCTGTGTTATTTTGTCTCTTGACATTGATTCATTTAACTGTCAATTTGCTGTTGAATGCGGTTCCTTCTTTTTGGTGTACTGTAACATAATCACCTAGCCTGATGAGCTGCAACACGGCCCTCCTAGTGGCCTGAGGTCCGCCGCGCAGCGAGCGGTCCGGGGACAGCTCAAAAACCAGGACATCGGTCAGCTGCCTCACTCGCTCGTCCACCTTGGCCCGCAGCTCCTTGACCTTGGTCGTCAGCGGCTGCTCCTTCAGGTACTCATTGAGCTTTTCCAGCAGGTCCACGGCACCCTCAAAATCCCTCTGGGCGATGCACACGTCCAGGTCCTCGGGCAGCTCCTGGATCCACTCCAGACCGAGGTCCACACTCTCCTCCACCTCAGGTAGAAAAGAGGTGGAATATTTTCAGTTAAAACTACATCATAGGTTCTTTGACAGGAGGCATTTATACCACAATGGCGCACATACTTCTGGGTGATAAAATGTCCGATGGCACCACTAGTAAACAAACCGTTTACATGTCATTTGACTAATGCAGAGCAATTAAGGCTTGAATTATGATTTGAGCCTTCTTCTCTCCCACCCAGATGTCCAATGTGAAGTTTCCAATTTAAAATATGAATAGGATTTTGCAACCCCACCTCAGCCTGCTCGTCGTCATCATCCTGATCAAAAGGATTGGTGGAAACTTCAACCCGAATGGGAGACGTCGGCGTCTTCTCCTCCTCCTTCTTGCCGTGCTCTTTGTTGGCTTTGTTCTTCTTGGTTTCATCCAAAATCTCCAGCCACTCCTTCTTGATCTTGCTGTTCTCCGCCTGGAAGATGCGGCTGTCGGGGAACATGAGGATCTTGAACATGTCCTTCATAGGTGGGTTGTCCTTCACGTTGACCACGGCGAAGCTCTCCAGGTCGTACAAGGCGTTGTACTTGTACTTTACGGCCCCGCGCCGGTTGGCCAGCCAGGTGGCGATCAGCAGGCAGTCGTTCATGAGGAAGGCGTGTACCTTCTGGACGGGAGACATGTTGTCCACATCAAACTCCACCAAGTCGCCATTGTATACCAGGTGCCTCCCGGGGGTGTCCATGATGGTCTTGCCTCCCTCCACCTTCTCCAGAAGGGAGGTGAGGCTCCTCTGCTTCACCTCCTCACTCTCCTTAGGGAAGGCGGCCTGCATCTCCTTGGAGGTTTCATCTTTGTCGGTGGATAACAGGGCCTGCATTAGGGGGACATTATTTGTGTAGGTAAAGTTGCTAAGCACATCATATTTTAGTTTCTCATGGCAACACTCGCCTGGGTGATGCTCTCCATGATGCTCTTCTGCTCCGTTAGGATGTGGCTCAGCTGGTACATCTCGCTCTCCAGGTACGAGATCTCCTTGGCCGTCTCGATGAACTGCCGGTAGTTCTTGTAGACGTTCTTTTTCAGGTTCTGGGCCGTCTCATCGGCCAGGTTTTGGATCTTTTGTCGGTGCTCCTGAAGGTCTCGATCGCCATCCGACTGCTGGGAAAGCTGCTTCACGTAATTCTGTGGGTCGAAATTGGGCGACTCCAGCAACCTGCGGAGTCTGTTTCCCGGTTCGGACATCTTAAATTGTGACTAAGTTACAACCTTTGACAAAATTGTTAAGAAACATAGGCTAAAATGAACAGAAAAGGAGTCATTCGAGGTTCAAATGGTTCATGGCAGCTAGCAACCTAAACAGGAAGCAGGGTGACACCCTCGTACGTCATGAGATCGGGAAAAAAAAAGGCTGGCCCACTATAATCTATTTTTAAAACACGATGAATCAAATTTCAATGAAAATATGTTTATTTGTGTCTGTGAATTGATCATAAAAACGAGTTTTCAGTATGTCATGTTATTTGAGAACAACTGATAAACACCGAGTGTGTTTTTAACTGTCCCACTGACTTCCGGATACGGAAGTTCGTTTCTATCAAGTTAATTAGACTCAAAAGCAGAAGTGAATGTGGTCCTGTCAGTGTAACATTTCTGAATTTTGGGGATGTTCACACTTACTCGGAACATACAGAACTACGGTTATAAATCCATTTAAATATTATTTGATTGAGAGCCTTTAAAATGGCACGGTGTTACATCACTTTTCTCACACCAATTATTGGACAACTCCTTTTATTTTGAAATCAGTACCCGGATCAAGTCGCCCTTTATGGGCTATACTGGCGGCAAATGTTGTAAACAGCTCAGCTAGTCGTTCATTTCCCTAGTTTGTCGAATAAAAAAATTCTTATTTGACAATAAGTAGCCACGAAGTTTACACTCCACAGGCGCTCGCAGAGTTGCAGTGTGGATGTCACTTTTCGGAGGCCCTGGGTTCAGAGTTAACATGGATGACGACTATGCGCTTGCCCTGCAGCTTCAGGAGCAGTTCGACAATGACGCGAACGACGGGCCTCTCGCTCCCTGGAAGGCCGAGAGACCGCTATCCGTCGTGGACGCGTCGTGGGAGACGCTGGACCCCACCCCGGATGTGCGTGCGATGTTCCTGGAGTTCAACGACAGGTTCTTTTGGGGAAAACTGAGCGGCGTGGAGGTCAAGTGGAGCCCCAGGATGACCCTGTGAGTCGTGCATAGACATATACTGTATATGCACTTTAAAGCCAAAGGTGACTTGAATTGATCCCACCAAATCCTTGCAGAGCTTTTCCACGCTGTGACAACGAGGCACTCTAAAGTGGCCAGTCAAGCCTAACTTAAAAATCAAAAAAAAAAAAAAAAACTTCCCCTCTTCGATCATGTCTTTCTCCTTGACAAGCGTGCACTCAAGGCCAACAACGAGAAACTCTAATGGTCAAGCAAGCAATTCTGAAGCAATTCTCTTCAAATATGTTTGGTATTTTGAAGCAAATCTCAGAATTAGCTTCACCAGGTCTAAATGTTCAAGTGGCATCCTGTAATCCTCTGTTGCTGTTTTCCGTGATGCTAAATGTTGTCTGTTGTCGCAGGTGTGCCGGCGTGTGCTCTTACGAGGGTCGCGGCGGACTTTGTTCGATCAGACTCAGCGAGCCGCTGCTCAAACTCAGACCCCGCAAAGACCTGGTGGAGGTGAGACCACCTCGACGGCTCGCATATCCTGCTTGACCACCCCTTGTCGGGTGTTTCATAGCACTATTTTTACAAATGTGTAATAATCGTATTTTGATATAATTGTATAATGCATGTTTTGTTGTATAATGCTTGGGGTGTATTGGTCAGACGCTCCTGCACGAGATGATCCACGCCCTGCTGTTCGTGACGCAGAACAACCGAGACCGTGACGGTCACGGGCCCGAGTTCTGCAAGCACATGAACCGCATCAACAAAGACAGCGGCGCCAACATCACCGTGAGCCCCTGCGCTCGCTTCCCTTCCCTCACGCAATTCTTTCTTGCTTTAATGGAAGCCCCCCCCCCCCCTTCCTGCCAGGTGTACCACAACTTCAATGACGAGGTGGACGTGTACCGCCAGCACTGGTGGCGCTGCGACGGGCCGTGCCAGACGCGCAAGCTGTACTTGGGTTTCGTCAAGAGGGCCATGAATCGGGCCCCCTCGGCCCTGGACCCCTGGTGGGAGGACCACCAGAGGACGTGCGGGGGCACCTACACCAAGGTAAAGGAGCCCGACGGCTATGGCAAGAAGAAGGAGGCCAAAAAAGACAAAAAGATGCCCGCTGTTGAAAAGCCAGCAGGTAGTGTTATGATTTTTTTGGGGGGATAATCTTTTTTTTTCTTTGTTCATCTTTTTGTGAATAGAATTGTACATGTTTGTATATTTGTATGCCTGTTTATATTATCAACAAACAAACAAGGGATTGTTTATTTTTCTCATCTTAGGCGCTCATTTGTTATTTTGTTGTTTTATTTTTACTTATCTCTTATTTAATATTTTTTAATAGTAAATTTGTCTTTTTAATTTTGAGATTTAAAAAAAATACGATTCATTCTGCCATTTTTTTAACTTTATTTCATTTTTTTAAAGCACCACGTTTTTTTTCCTTGGCTTTGAAATATTTCTTTCTGCGATCTGAATAAAAGGTCCCCTACTAGATGTTTCAAATTCTGATGTTTTTATTATTTTAAATTGAATCCATCGAGATTAAGTTTAATCGAACGATGAATAATTATCTGTCAATTTCAGGAAGTCGGGACATTCGGGACGTGATCGCATTCAGCGGCAAAGGCTTCGTCCTGGGCGGGAATTCCTCCTCTGTGACGATGTCAGCTGGCCCCGCCTCCTCCACAGTCGCGAAACACGTGCCGCCTTCTCCCCCGGCTCGAGTCCTTCCTGCGGTGGGACAGCCGGCGGCGCAGGACCTGAAGGCACCTGCCAAGAAATCAGTCGCTAATACCAGAGTGTTTGTCAACATTAACGGATCGCCCGTTAAAATCCAAAAGCCTCGTCAAGGCGTTGGCGACAATTACGGCGTCGGTGGTCACGGCATCGGGAGCAACTTTGCCATCGGCAATGGTAGCCACGGTGTTGGTCGTCATAGCGTTAGCAGCGGCAAGCATGAAGAACCGGATCGACTGAAGCAGACCTCTATTGATGTTTTGTTCAACGGCAAGTTGGCAAATCATTCACTCATCGCCGACTCGCCAAGTAAAACAAAGTCACCGACGCGGATTTTAGTTTCGCCTTCCGCTTCGGATCATCATCACAAGAACCATCAATCCACGTCGTCCCCGCCGCCGTCCGAGCGTCCGTCGTGGAACGCCGTCGCCAACACTCCTCAGTGGAAGAAGCGACCGCTGAACGACTTGGCCGGCGTCTTTGAGGGCTTCAACAAGAGGCTGAAGGTGGAGACCAAAGACGGCACGGAATCGGCGCCGACGAGTAGCCACGCCGCCACCTCGTCGTCGTCGTCGCCGTCTTTGCCGGCGATGGTCACGTGTCCTGTTTGTCAGGCCAGCGTGCAGGAGTCAAAGATCAACGAGCACCTGGACTCCTGCCTCTGCTGACCCCACAAGGTTGAGGAACTTATTCGAAGAGAGGTATTCATTATTCCAAATGTATTCGTCATTGTGCTTGCGTTTTCCGCACTGCATCATAGCGACGGCTGTTCCGAATATTTTGAGCCTTTCGTGAAAAGTCCCAACTTGTTACTTTACAAGAGGTAAGACGCGTATTGGAAAACGAGAGCCCTACAAATTCCTTTTCGAAGATTCTGTAGGATGGACTTTTGTCCACAGTTAACCCGAAAGAGATTTGTTTGTTAAAGGTAAGGTGTAAATGACAGGTCCTAATTTGATAATATTTTGTCACTTTATCTACGGTTTAGCCCAAAATTCATCCATTTATGAGAGGTAAGGCGTTTATTGGAGAGGTCTTTATTTTAACAGAGACACATTTTGTAAGTGGCACGATGGCTTTTACTTGGTCTTTTTCGGCGACCAGATTTTGAAGCACTATTTTGAGGAAGCCTTGCCGCCTGAATGGATGCCATGTTCACTCTCATTGATTTTATGATGTTCCCAAATATAGCTTTTACATGTTTTGTACAAGTTTGTATATTTATGTTACACGGTTACGGTTTGAAATGTGAATAAAATATTTTAAATTCGGTCTGTATTTTTAAGTGCTTGTTTGTGCTAGCTTGACTCCGCAAAACTGCTTGAGTCATCGTATTTTTATTTTTTTTTTGTTTTGTTTTAAATATGATATTTATTCCCTTGGTGGTGGTTGTCTTTAAAAAGTGAAGTGGCGCTCCCATGTGGGCGTACTTGTGCAGGAAGGCAAAGGTCAAGAGGTCAAAAGTGGAAGAAGGCCAGCTGCTGGTCCAGATGGAAGAAGTGAAATGACTCATGAAGGAGTATTTTTAGTCAGCGGGGGAAGAAAACATTTCTGCTCTGATACATAATTTTTAAAAATTAATAAAAAACTTTCAAGCTAGCACGCGCTGAGTAAGCGGCTAACTAGCAGCTGTTAGCATAAACTTAGCTCCTTGTCTCCTTCAGTGCAAAATGTCCAAACAGCTGCTGCTGAACATGAATAATAAAGAATGCTAAGAAGCTGGCTCGAGAGTAGAATGGTAGCGTCTAACTTTTGATGCATAGCTAATTATTTAACATCCTGAGTTACAGTGTCGGTACATAAAGAGCTGCCAATTATTTATGATTAAAAGTCACTTCATTTCACGATGCTCCTTAGTGGTCATATTTGACCACCTTTTAATGTTTTTTTTTTTTTTTAATGCTTATTAGCTTCTGATGCTAACTTGTTCTTTTTATAGCGGTGGATTAGCAGAAACCTCCTGGGATTTGCATGCATTCCCGACAGGGGGTGATTAAAGACGTGAAAAATCAACTTTTTGAACAACAATAGTTGGGTTTGTGGAATTCCTGCCAACCCATCAAGTGTGAATAATCAAATACAAAATGGTGGAGGGGTCGGTGGATGTCCTCCACACCGTTCAGGTTGATGGTCACCCTTTAAGCCCCACCCTGTGCACGCACCGAGTTTGAAACCCTAATTTGACAACCTAAACCGAATTTGAAACCCTACTTTTAAATCCAAACCCTAGGTTAAATGATACTTTGAAACTCTTAACATGAATTCAAACTAATGTGAAACTTTTCGCTTGTGCAGAACATTGGGGTTGTCCCAAATTGATGGCCCTCAATTACAGCCGGATGCCGGAAACGTTTTCATTAGAAAAATCTATATTTAACTTCTCAAATATTAAGATTCACATACTTAGTTCTGATTAAAAATATAATAAACATTTTAAAAAATCGATCAAATTAAAAACGTACGGAAATGCCATGCACCTGCCACAAATGATCACTAGATGGGGTAATCACACAGCCCACGATGGAGTCTGTCCTCCGGTGAAGAACACCAGCTGGACTTTGCTTGACTTTTTGGATCACGTGGACCGCGGTGGTGGTTTTTGTGGAGGTTGCACTTATTCCCCCGCTATAGTCCGATCGTCTGTTGTTGCAGCGGGAGGAGGAGAGGCCGTGCACGGTGCGTCCTTCCACGGCGTGTGCTTGTGGAGCTGCGACTTTGGGTTTGCGGTCCTGCGGGGCGGAGGATGAGAGCTTGGAGCTGTGCCCCTTATTTTTAGGCTTTCTCCGTCCCCCAGATGACAGCTGATGAGGTGAGTGAATAAAGTTTTTCAATTTGGGCCACTACATTAGGTACAGCCGCCCGTCAAGTTGAGTCAACATATGAGAAACAACTTTTGAGCCTCATTCATGAAATACTCCTTGATCAATCAGAATTGTCCACACTCTTCTTGCACAGGTGTACCTAATAAAGTGACCGAAGATGTCAGCAGAATAACTGGGCAAGTTTTCACATCGTGGGGCACATTGCACCTCCTAAACAGATCTAACACAAAAAAAATGACATTTCAAATATGGACAAAATATGTGCTGGCCTGCGAATAAGGAAAATAATTGGCCCTCATTAAAATGCTTTGGAAACAAATGTGTGTGTGTGTGTGGGGGGGGGGGGTTGTAAACCCCAAAAATTCTCTCCAAAACATATTAAGCTTCCAATTTGTGAAAAGCTTTCATGAGAAACTGGAGTTGTCTGTTTCTCCCTCTCCACAAAAACTTTTTTTGTTTGTTTCTTTGGAAACAAATCGGTGAATCTGCAAGTGCCAAACCGCAAGCATCTGGGGATCCCCTGTCGTTGAGGAAACATGTTTATAATTCCCCATCTCCAAAATAATAATAAAAAAAATAAAAAATATACTTGCTCTCAGCTGATAATGACATCACAGTTGCTCATGACTCGGGTAACACCCAATCATGGCTCACCTGTTTGGTCGTGTGACATTCACAAGCTGACCCGTGATTGGAAAACTAGCATTCTTGTGAAAATCACTGAATGTTCAAACAAAATCACCTGAAAATTTGACGTATCGTGAAAATGTGGCCAAACCCTCCCCCACCCCCAAAGCAAAACATGTACCGGTACTTATATAATTTGGACCATTCCTTCTGTCATTTGGGTTATTAAAAACTTAATAGCGTTCTTGCATTGTACTGCAATTAGTTTCATTTCTTGCATGGTACAACAGCTTGGAACGTTTTGTTTTGTAGAAGATTGTGCTGTTTCTGTTCTTTAAAAAAAAAAATGTCAGTATTTCATGGTGATTCATTCTTAATTGTCAAACATGAGACAGCACAATGTTCCAGATAGGAGTGATTCTTTGCTTTCCCACTATCCTTTACCACACATGCACACAGATACACGGGGAATGCAAGCACTCATGCAGGGACTTGTGTGTGTGTGTGTGTGTGTGTGTGTGTGTGTGTGTGTGTGTGTGGGAGGGGAAGGTGGGGGTTCAGGGGACGTATCTCCAAGCAGCCTTAATAGTTTCAGTTCAACTGTCTTTCTGCTTGCCTTAATGAGAAAGTCAGGACTGAGTGCTTTGTCGACCCCTGTACATTTCCCCCTGCGCCAATTCCACTGCGGCCTCCTGGGAATTTTTGCCCTCGCAATTGCCACCTTAGTTTTTGTTTCCCGAGGTCGCTCAGATTGTGAAGCAAATCGGAAAAAATGACCCTAAAATGATAGCAAAACGGCAAGCATACTGCGACTTTTTAAGCAAAGCTTCTTGAGACTTTATGGTGGGTTGACTCATGACTGACCTGTTCAGCAAATTTCATGGTGCTAAAGTGAAACTGGCTTCGGGGACCGATTTTCAAACATTCCATATTTTTAAGTAAAACTGTCTTTTAAACTGTACTTGTTTATGAGGAATCATAAAACGTCTCCATGCGCATGCGAAGGCAAAATCACGAACATGTCCCTATTTGGTGTCACCCATCTCAGTCCAAATATGTTAGCCATCAAATAAAATCCTTTCTGTCTTTGAAGGACTCCTGGAAATGGCCAACATGTTCTTGAGACTTATTAATGAGTGTACTCATGTTTGAGAGGTCACCCAAATGTTGATCGCTAAGTGAAACGGGCTTGGTTAGCTGAATTTTCAAAAATTCCCAGAGATGTATTTCTCGAAGGCAAAGACATGGAATGTAAGGACCAGGTTAAGCACACAAATCCGACCCATCTCCACTTGGACCTCCTTGATTTTGTTTTGCTTGGAACATCTTTATCCATATTCTATATGACTGTGTGTGTGTGCGTGTTTGCATCCCAGCCAGGCGATGGAGAACAAGGCCATGTACTTGAGTACGTACGAGGAACGGGAAAACGTGTCCATGTACGAAGACGGCTTTGAAGGACATAACTTGTCCAAGCTCAACCTGTGCGATGAAGGTAAGGAGGAAGAGGAGAAACCTTAAATGTTATTTTCTTTTGAAAAGAAAAAAAAACCTCACACACAGTGAAAAAAATGATTGAGTAAACGGGAAGTTTGCAAGAAAATGAACCCTGGCAAAGTGCAGTTTCATGCAGAAGTTGCTTTGCTTCCTTCCTAAACATTTTTCTGGGTTAATTGAGGCTAAGACGGTATCACGTTAGCTTAGCTTGTCCTAAAATAAGAGCAGGTACATTTGTTCTGTCAGTCATAAACACCTTAACTTTTTGATTTGTGCCACACGCTACTGCCGTATCACAACTCGAACAGAATGATGGCTGAGACAAAAACAGCTCTCAGGATGAAGTGGCTAGCTTAGCCTAGCACAGTAGCAGAGGACCTAATAGAACATTAACAGCGAGTTATCATGAGAAGCCAAGGAAGCAGTTAGCTTAGCTACATCAGCTGTTGGCACGCTGAACTTGCTTCCTGGGGCGACACAAACCATTACAACAGCAAGTATTTTACACACATTTGAAGTGCTAATTCCTTGTTTTTTGTGTTTGCTTGTTTTTTTTTCTTTAGAAAATTTCACATAAATGGCGGCCATTTCTCAGTAGGCCTATAATGTGGCTTAGCCTTTAACCTTAGCTTAGCATACAAAAGTAGTGGGGCTCTTCGCTTAGGGCTGTGGCTGTCAATAAGAAGTTAAAGTTCTTTCTTTTGTGGTACAAAAAAAAAAACATGTAAACAGCTGTCACTACGAAAGACTATGTCATCCTCGCGTACAACAGCCGGGGAACATTTAACATCCATCTCTTTCAGCACGATGTGGCTAGCTTAGTTTAGCATACAAACGCAAGCTGGATGTTTAGCTTAGCTCTATCAGTGATGAATTCAATTCGTTATTTCCTGTTCCCAATCAATCACATATACGACACAACTTCCTTATCTTAAGATTAGTAGGATAGGAAATGTTACTGCAACAATATGTGAGGTGGTGTAAAACCCGTATGCTAAACTAAACTACCCTCCATTAACCTGCAAGCGTTTACATTAGGAGGAAGTCAAGCTACTTCTGCCTTAAAAGTGAACTTCCTGCTTATGTTTGCATGATGCCAAGTTGTCGTGTCTTCTTCTCGACCTGCTGAGCTTGACACTTTAGCTCCTCTTTACATTCCAACCATGTGACCATGTGGTGTGCATGCGTGCGTACGCGCACGCACGCGCGCACGCTCACATATCTGCAACAGCTGTGTTTGTCTTGCTCCGCTTGAGTGTGTTCTTGATCATATGAGGGAAGTGTGTGTGCATGTGTGTCTGTGTGTTGGTCACGGTTCAAATGGATTCATGCTGCTGTGAGGTCGCGCCCACTGTAAGATTTTTATTGTTGCGACATCACATGGCAAATGATCAGGGGTGGGCAAACTTTAGTCTTCAGGGGCCACATTTAATTTTTTTTTTTAACGAACAGATGGACCGCGTAGTTCATTCGTAGTTGAGATGTTACATTCTGTATGTGTGTGCAGCCTCACAGGGTTTGAGAGGTGTGGGATTTATATAGTTTTAATCATTAAAATTCGGCCAGGCTAGTTCACAACACTCTTCTCTGTGGTGTGTCAAATTTAGAAAATGTGTTTATTATCTCTTTTCACTTCGTAGGGCTTTAATAACATTTGGCCTTCAGGTGGATGTATGTACAACATGCAAAATGATCACATATCATTTTTATTGAACACATGGCCCCAACCTTTGTCAAATTTGTTCCCAGAAGAAACTAATCTGATGTTTTTAATCTGTAAAGCATTCTTGACCGCAGACACGGACGGGCCGACTTCCAAAGCAAACTCTCAATGTGTCGCGTTATGGAAGCCAAATGTCTCATTGTGTTGACTGTTTGCTGTTAGCCATTGGCACTAAACGCTTTGGATTGATTGTTGTTTTGGCTCCCCACGATCAGGTTCTGGAAAACGGCGCAGGAAACAGGATCAGTGTTGCGCTCAGTTCACCTCTTTGGCGGCCATAAAGTACGCCATCGTGTCTCTCTACGTACTCGTGCTGCTCACCATCTTCGGGCTGTGCCTGGCAGGTATGGCGACTTTTCCTTCTTGTTCCAAATTCAAAAACTCCTGAGCTTTTATGCTTTGACGGCGAAACACCAACGAGATCATAAGCCTAGGGTAACCTAGCTGGCCTTTATTTTTAAAAAGGTGCATTAAAAGTCTGTGGACCCATTTTAAATTGCTTAAAATTACATTTGTATATTTTTGTGTTTGTTCAGATTTTAAATTGTGTATTTTTTGAATGACCTCAAGTTATCAAGCTAATTTTGTTTTACTTTGAATAATTGTTTTCAGTTACTTACAATTGAAAGACATTCCTTCTTAAAACTGAATTTAATTCATTAAAATTACAATGACGTATCATGAAGTAATTGTACTCATATTGCTTTTTCAAATTAGTTACAATGTAAGTCATGTATTCTGAATTAATTGAAATTACATCATGTTTTAAATGAAAGGATATATCGTTCCATTTTATTTTTTAAATGATTTATTTTTTAAATGAAAATGTGGCTTAATTAATAAATGAAATGATATGTAGTTCCATTTTAGTTTTTAAATGATTTATTTTTTTAAATGAAAATGTGTCTTAATTAATTCAAAGCTTTTTCAAATGATGTACTGCATGTAATTCAGATAAAGTATTGTAAAATATTTGAAATGAAATACGTTTTCAACTGAAAAATGCCTTTGTTTAATTTATTAAATTATTTTGAAATTATGCAATATAATACTAATGTATTGAGCTGTATTTAGAGTCTTGCTGCAAACAAAGTCAAATAAATAAAATAACAAAACAACATCTCGAAAGACATTTGTAAATCAATCCATAAGTGACAAATACATGTGGAAATGTGATTTTTTTATGTAGAGAAGTGACAATATGTCAGATCACAAAGAATCAGCCTCTGGAAACGTGAAGAGTTTAATATCGGGAGACGTCATGCTGTTATGCTACATAATACATCATAAACATATACGCACGGTGGGATCCATTATGGTTTTCTACAACTTCGCATTAGCCTTGTGCTCCCAGAGGAGGCTTGGATTTCGTTTTCTTTTTTCTTTTTTTTTTGCATATGTCTGTGATGAATAAGTTTGCACATGGAAATAGTTTCATGTCCATCTCTAGTTTCTGTGCACATGACCTCAGAACATGATTCTGCCTCGCAATGAAGGACACACTCATGCGCACATTCGAGGCGTTTGAGTGGAATGGGGGGGCGGGGGGGGAGGGATGCGTGATGTGAACCTAATTTCCGTGTGACTGTAGCCGTGTGCCGCATGTTAGCGTGGAGAACACACGTAGGATAAACAAGTCACGTCCAGTGTAATATGACATGCTAACAATGATGAGAGCGAAGGTTGCGCTTCAAAAGTGGGGCCAAGTTTTGGAATGTGAACCTCCTCCGCCACCCACCACGCTATGATGTCAGTTCTTGATAACATTTTCACCTCCTTTACGAGTCCCATTAAGTGGACATCGTGTATGCAAAATTCACACTCATTTTGAATTGAGTTCCTCAAGGAAATGTTTGAGGTCCTTTACTTTTCGATCAATCCCTTCATGCTCCCCATTTCCTACTGTAGGTGTCTCAATACTTATATTCTTGTCTCCTATACATCATAATTTTGCACCACACTCCATCCTTCAGTGAGAAATCATTTTGAGCGGTGTTCCACAGGGAAATGTTTGAGGTCCATTGTTTTTGTCGCAACGCTCCTTGTTTTCCTCACTTTTTACTCGAGGGGTGTTAATACTTATTTCCATGTCCTCCAACTGTATGTAGTATATGCATTTTTTTAAACACATTAACCCTAAAAAAATCTACCCATCCTTACATAAGGCATCAATTTCAGTGGTGTTCCTCAGAGATACATCTGCAGCTCACTATTTTTCTACAGCCATCCTCGTCCCCCTCACTGCCAGCTGTAGGTGTCCCAAGACTTATGTCGAAGCTCATGTGTATGACTTTGTACATCAACAGTCCACTATCCATACATTGGTGCGACATAATTTTAAGCGGAGATCCTCAGGGAAATTTTGTGGACAAATCATTTTGTCCCCTCTTGCGGTGTAAATGTTCCTTCATATCACTCCCGCTTTGTGTACAATATGATTCTGTATGTTAATTAGGGTGACCTCCCCCTTGGAAAAACCCTGGCTGGGTGCCTCCTCTGCCTCGTAGCCAGATTTTGTGTGTGTGCGGGTGCGACTTTATGGCTTTTCACCTTGAGCGGGGGGCCTCCTTCCAAATGTCAATGTTGTTAGGATACGAGGGAAGACAAGACGACGGAGACATTGCGGACGAAGTGTGTGTGTGTGTGTGTGTGTGTGTGTGTGTGTGTGTGTGTGTGTGTGTGTGTGTGTGTGTGTGTGTGTGTGTGTGAGAGAAAGAGAGTGAGTGAAAGTATTTTCTTATTTAGGACCTTTAAATGAGCTGCCTGAAGAACAAGCAATCAAAGCGGCTTTTTGTGTGCCAAGTGGCTCCAGCACCGCTCCCAGAGGGCCCCCTCTACATCCATGCTCATGTAAAAAATGCCCGTGTCTGTTTGCCAGTCCCCCTCCTCCCCCCAAAGTTTTGTTTGGTTTTGATTGAATTCTCACTTGACTCATTACTCACTGGAGCAGACCCCCCCACCCACACTGCCCTGAAATTGGCCCCTTCTCAACATGTCATTTTTTTTAGATAAACGGGGTGCTTGTGATGATGGCAAGCAGGCAGGCATGTCGGATAGCAGTGAGCTGTGATTAAGAATCTCGACCCCAACAAATAGATTTGTCCTTACGTCGAAGGCCAGCATCTGGCTCGCTCGTGACACTAACCCTCAGCGTTATGATAATCAAAAGGCAGCAGGAATGTACAGTGACACCACTAAAGTGCATCCAAATGCACTCCTTCCTCCCCATAGGAAATCATATCACAAGTCAATTTTGACAAAAAAGAAAAACACTAAATGTCTGCAGTCCAACAAATAAAACAGCCAAGCATACTTTACTCCCTGTTGTAAGATGATCAGTTCGACATTTATTCGACCAGCGTAGCGTACGCCCATTTATGGTCATTTGGACGGCACAGGCTGCAAACGGCGAGTAATGGCTTTTTACTCCACACCACAGGATAATCATTCAGGATCATCTTTTTGAGACATCCGACAATTCGTCATTCACTGTATTTGATCGGCGTGGGCAGGGGGAGGGGGGGCAGATGATTTTCGATATAGGTGTATCCCACACCACATGATGATCGCTTAGGATAATCTTTTAAAGGATTTTGACAATCAGGCCTTGGTTGACTTTAATCGGAAAGCTATAAAATTACTTTGAGTCACCCCAAACCGCAAGAAAATCACCCAGGAACAGCTTTCAGAGATGTTGTTCAACTGGGTCTTTGCTGACTTTGCTGAAATTAGGCCAGATTATCAAAGTGTGTACCTCACACCACATGATAATCACTCAAGACCTTTTTTGAGACATGAGACAATTGGAACTTTGATCGGAAGGGAGAAATGCACAGGCTGGAAACGGCGAATAATGGCTTTTTACACCACACCACAGGATAATCATTCAGGATTATCTTTTTGAGACATCCGACAGTTCGTCATTCACTGTATTTGATCGGCGTGGGCAGGGGGAGGGGGGGCAGATGATTTTCGATATAGGTGTATCCCACACCACATGATGATCGCTTAGGATAATCTTTTAAAGGATTTTGACAATCAGGCCTTGGTTGACTTTAATCGGAAAGCTATAAAATTACTTTGAGTCACCCCAAACCGCAAGAAAATCACCCAGGAACAGCTTTCAGAGATGTTGTTCAACTGGGTCTTTGCTGACTTTGCTGAAATTAGGCCAGATTATCAAAGTGTGTACCTCACACCACATGATAATCACTCAAGACCTTTTTTGAGACATGAGACAATTGAAACTTTGATCGGAAGGGAGAAAAAAAGGTTCAAATTAGGCTAGTTTATGGATATATATGTACCACACCGCAGGATAATCACTCAGGGTGATCTTTTTGAGACATCTGACAGTCAGGCGTTTGCTGATTTTGCTTGGAAGGGAGGAAAATTGCTCCAATTAGACATCTGCTCTCGAGTGACTTTCATGCGCGAAGGCGTCCGCGTTGTACCAATTTGATGAGCCGACACGCGTGCCCACATACACGCTGCACGTGCGACGTATCTTTGTGCAAACGCGAGCCACTTTGAAGTCCGAAAACCGAACGACAGAAGACACAAGGCGGGCAGCGATGTGAACCAGATGTGAGTGCAAGAGGGCAAACGTGACACTGTCGCGTTGAGAAAAAAAAAGATCAAAAAGACAAAAAGATACCTCATTAGTTTCACGCTTCGATGGGGAACACTGCATGTGAAACGTGCGCACGCATACTCGTGAAACATGCCATGAAAGCAGGCGTTGCCAAAGTTTGGCCTCGGTCTTTTCACGATTAACCGCCTTGTAATCGTTGTGTCATGATTCATTTCTGTAGTTGTTTTTTTATCAAGATTGGCCTGAGTGCTGACTATGATGTGGGTGGTTGGTGACGTTTCCTATCATTTAATTTACGACAACATAATCTATTAGTGATATTTCTTTTACCATATCAAGACAAATAAAAACAACATGTGACAAAAGCATTGCGTGTGCAGTGAATCAAGGTTTCATCATCGCAACAGCATGACCCTGAAATTGATATTTTCGTGATTTCCATTGGGGGCGGGGGGATGTTTCCCAAACAAAGTGGAACACACCAAATAGACAAATCTGAACAAACACTCCATGAAGTGCACACGCAGCTTTAAATTGACTCTGAGAATATAAAACCTCATGTGCGCTGAGTTCTCCGCTCAACAAAAGTGTCTGGAGAACGTCCAAAGGTTCCGCAGTGGGAGTGCTACATAAGTGGAAGGTACACACATATAGGCACGCACGCAAATGCACATCGCGTTGAGAAAGGCAGGGGTGCGAGGGCAGTAAAAACATGGGAGATTTAAAAAAAAAGAAAAAAAACAAACACTGGGGCTTTGTGCTGATGTGGCCTCTTTAGAGTGCCTTATTGTCTGCTGTGAATGCGCGCACAACTCGAGATGATGGTCTAAGAGCAGGAAGGAGGATTAAAAAAAAATTGGGGGGAACCTCCGACCAGAGAGTGGAGGCCGACTTCGAAGTAGCATGCCTGGTCTAGAGTGCCTCGTTGTTGCGGTGTAGAAAAGACTTGGTTAGGTACTGGATATTCCACCAACCAGAGGGTTTAAGCGGATATCTTTTTGAAGCTCAAACATTAAACTGCATCAGGAAAAAGTTCAATTCAATTCAACAGTTGGCCGCCATTCAATTATTGAAGCCTTGGTGAAGGCCTTGTTTGGTTATACCCAAAAGAATTGCACTTGCACAGTCACACTACGTGCAAAACTGCCACACATGCTGCAGTTTACCTGCCGGTTGCTGGTGTTGCAGTCATGCCTTAGCACCCGGGCCAAGCCGCGCTTCATTTTAATCAAAGCAAGCTGTGGTGTTCACTGCGCTATCAAAGCGGCACAAAGCTGTTCGCTCTGTTCGTTGACTTGTGGTTTCATGCTAACAATAGTTTCAAGCCAAAATATGCCACCAATGCAATGGAATAATACAACACAGCGCAGGGACAGAAAGCGCGACACCCTCTTAACATGAGATTATGGTCGGTAACAAGATGGAATGTCAGAGCATGTAAATAAGTAAAAGCAGTCATGTGATTTCAATCAGATGGTGTGTGTTTTAAAACAGCAGATGCCAAAATGTGCCCTAAAACAAACATATTTTCCCCCATAGGACATTTTATGAAGTTAATTCTTCATAAAAGCTTTTTTTAAATGAACAATACAGTGGTGCTTTGCGCCACCTAGGGGAAGCATAATACCGATTTTGGGGTGGTCACAGTTTATACATAAGCCGATGTAATGTTAGTATTCATCTTGGAGGATAAAGAATATATGCCTATAATTATTATTATTATTATTTTTTAATCTTTCCATCAGTTTTCTTCAAATTATGAAAGGGTTACAACTCCACGGCACCGATGCTATTCTTAGCCCAAATGTGGTGTTTTACATTTTCCTGAGGTTATTTGCTTCCTGTTGTCTGATTGGCAAAAGTGGTCCAACTGTTATTTATACTTCAAATTGGGAGACGTACACTGAGATGTAATGAAATAAACGGCAAACTGTGAGGGAGTTGAAGTCAGAGCTTAGTCACCATGGACGCTGATCCGGCGACCGTTGCTCTGGAGGGCGTTTGTTTGAATGCGACATGTAGGAAAGCCTTCAGGATTCAATAATCCCTGAATGTTTTTTACATTTTGAGGTCAACTCCAACACAGAACTGTTGATGTTTCCAAGGGCAATAAGATTCCAAACATTGAGGTGTTGGGCAATGTTTTGGTTTTTTTTAATCTCAAAATTTTTCATTCCAAGTGCATCATGGAAGCTGAAATGTTGACAGGCTGTGACCGATCCATTTGCTTCTGCGATTTTGCCGTTGAAATGTGACGTAGGAGGTGAAAACACGCACGGCCGTCAATCACAAGAATCCCGAAGCCAAAAAAATGACGCGCTGGAGCAACAGCTGTCCTTGTGGTTCAGTGAACGGATTGACATGCAACCACTGAGAACTATGTTGCAGTAAGCGAGCCAGCTATGCGTACACCCTGAAAACGCACCTTGCATTCGGATAGGCCGCTAGCCTTACAGCTTTAGAGTGCCTCGTTGTCGGCAGCGAGTATTCACATCATGGAAAGCAGTCGAAAAAGCGAGGTCATTATTATTTCTTTCTTTAAATCCGACATGAAATGCGGATGGGGGCTTCGCGCTGGAGGGGCCGCTATAGAGTGCCTCGTTGTCACGTTGCGGAAGAACACGGCGACGGTGCAGTCGAATTTATTCCAGTTTTTAAGCAGACATTTTTTGTGGCTCAAACCTGTAATCGTGTCGGCGTAGGAATCTTTTTAATCATTTAAAGGATCTCTTATTTTTACATTGCAGGGACTTTAATGTCCTGTACATATGGCAGTGTATTAGCATGAGTGTGTGTGTGTGTGTGTGTTTTCATGTGTTGCAACACAGACAGACCATCATTTAGCAGTTAGCCGTCCCAGTCTGGGGTCATTTGGAGTAAACTTAACACGCATAATGAACTGCAATTCATTTGTTCTCTTGTGGAGGTCCTCTGCATCCCCCCCGCACCCCCTTCTTTTGAGTGCTTTAGGACCCCAAGGGGGAAGCCACCCCGCATGCCCTGCCTCCTTGACAACTCCCTGTCCTTTTAATAACTTGTTTTTGCATAGACGATGTTATGCCGACATCTTATAAATCTTCGCGCTTTAGGAAATAGTTGCCATGCTGCAGTGCATGTCATCAATGGAACGATTTAAGAGGTCGCAGCCAAGCGCAAGACAAGAAAGGTTAATCGTTGCGCAAATTGGGCTGGTTGCAGCTAAATCAACACGCAGGAAGCCGTTTTTCCTACTTTTTAGGAGGTTCTTCCGAATAGCTGCATTGACTGCGTCCTTTTTGAAACAGGGATGGAACATCAACACGTTGCTTCGAGTTGATTATTTTCCTCCTGAAAGCGTTGGAAGTGGAGTAAAACCCCCAAGCCAAATTCAACATCACGACTATATTTTCCAGGCTTGAACAAACGAAAATACGCATTTGCATCACAGGAAATTCAGTCTGGAACTAGAAACTTTTTGTGTTGGAACTACTGTCGAAATTGAATTCTGGTACCAACGTGCCAAGTGGTCGTGCAGTCATTTCTCGAGGTCCAGGAACCTTTGAGACATGGTCTGACATACCTGGTTGGAGCCTTTTAATTCCAAGTATCAAGACTCTTTCGAGAACGTATACCCTGGTATGAATTTATGTAGGACCATTTATCTAAATTTCAAGGAAATGGTGAATACCAAGTCCCTGGAACTAAATCTTAGCCTAGCAGCTTTTAGAGGACCATTGTGTGGATAATTGGGGGCAGGGGATTATTGTCTATTTTGTATTTTTAGCTCAGGATAATTTCTCAGTTTCAAAACAAGACCTTGTAGTGTAATTTTGAAAAGTGCAGAAATCTGCGCCGAACAAACATCTGATTGAGCCGTTTCAGTTCCAGGAAGTACAAGCACCTAGAGGTTTCCTGGCGCTTTAGGTGGAAATTCGCAATCAAATCCGATCGCTGTTGATCGAGCGCGACATCTGCTCTCCATTCCGTGCAACAGTCGTGATCCCAGCTGAGTGATCGATGCTGACGGATTCCCTTGAATTTAGGGACTTTTACGCCGTTGCTGAGAGATGTTTAACAACAACTGCGCCGTGTTTCGTTCCCCCCCTTGCAGTGTCTCGCTCCCAGGCATGGTCGCAACGGCAGCAGGTGCTGATGGAGAACGTCACACACATGTCGGAGAACTCCCGGCTGCTCCAGCAGACGCTGGGCGAGACTTCCGATCGGGCTGACTTCTTGGAGAACATCTGGAAGCTGGAGAATCTCTTCCAGAACCACAGCGACTGGCTGCAGAAGCTAGAGATTCTCATCAAGGTATTTTTATTTTTTTTTCTTTTGTGTGACGTCTTGTCCATATCCTTGTTTCTGGTGATACTTCGGTACAACCCCAATTTAGATGACATGGTTTTAAATGAAAAAAATGTTCTCAAGTTTGTCTTTGCGGGACCGAGGGAGCTCTCCAGAACCTCATTGTTTCCTTTTGGGTGCTCCCAGAGCCTTGAGGTGGAGCTGAGAACCATGCAAGCTCACTCCCTGCAGTCCGAAGGCTACCTGGTGCATCTAGATGAACGGCTGTCATCGTTTAGCAGCTCCACCGGCAGGAACCTGACTGGTCTGATTGCCGAGGTGGCGCGCACCTCCACCTGGCTCCATGACCATAACCTGCTGCTCATGTTAGACAATTTATCTTAGTATGGCGACCGTGACGTCGCCACACACGCTAACGACAGTGTGTGTTTCTAAAGGGAGACTTCAGGTCAGGTGACCGGGCTAAGGGACAAGCTGGAGGAGGTCAACTGGACGGTGGGAGCTGTCAATCACACCGTCAGCAATGACATCAATATTCACCATTTGAAAATACACGATCTGCAGGTACGAGCGCACCAAAAACCAGCGGCAGTCAATACATTCACTGTCAATATTTAGCTCAGAAAATGACGGGAACATGAGCAGTTGAAATAAAATTTATCATATTCACCAGAGAAGCTTGTTGAAGATCGCAACAGATGTGTTTTGCTGGTCAAAGTTGGCTGGAACAACTTTGGCTCTGACTAGCCAATCAGAGGACAAAAAGGGTGACGTCACTGAGGGCCTCAACCTATTTGCGTAGTTTTTATTTTTATTTTTTGCTTGCTGTGAAATCAAATCCACACACATTGAGGCACAGTGTTCTTCTATAACTATAAATGTTCATTTGAAGTACTTTCAACACTGCCATTATCATCAGCCTAGCAAAGGACCGCTAGCTTAATGCTAATATAGTTGAAACTAGCATTGTAGTATGAAGACTAAACATGGTAGCTTAATGCTAACATAGTTGAAACTAGCATTGTAGTCTGAAGACTAAACATGGTAGCTTAATGCTAACATAGTTGAAACTAGCATTGTAGTCTGAAGACTAAACATGGTAGCTTAATGCTAACATAGTTGAAACTAGCATTGTAGTCTGAAGACTAAACATGGTAGCTTAATGCTAACATAGTTGAAACTAGCATTATAGTATGAAAACTAAACATGGTAGCTTATTGCCTAAACGGTTGAGTGGAACGCTCTCTGCATCTGAGTGCTTTGTGAAAGGTGCTATATAAAATCAAAACTGTTTTACTTCTTTCCTTCCTTCACTTTTGACTGATGAGACTGCATTTTACCGCAATCTAAATTTTTAGCTGATCTCTCTGACTCGTTACAATCGTTTTTGTTTTTTTTTCTGTAGATTCAGATCAGCAACATCACGGAGGACACATCCAGTCTGTGGGTGACCCACTTCCACACGGAGGCGCAACTTAGAAACGAAATGGAGCTCTTGAACACCCTCACCGAGGACCTGCGTCTCAGAGACTGGGAGCGCTCCTTGGCTCTGAAAAACATCAGCTTCATAGAAGGTCAGATGTAGCTCCTCTGTCCTTGTTAAATACTCTCAATTTAGCCACTCATTGTTTTGGTGAAGTATTTGCATAACTCGTTATATGCTTTTCCACGTTGCAACAATGAGGCGCTCTAAACTTGCCATTAAAAACACAAAGCCCAGGTCTACATGCTGACTGCCAAGTCATATATTTTTTTTTCTTTTCCCCTTCACTTTTCCGCATTTTCTCCTTGGCGTTCATGGATTCACGGCCAATAACAAGGCGCTCTAAAGAGCCCACTCGCACAGCTCAAAGCCCTTGTTCATACGCTGGCTATCAAGCCAGACTTTTTTTTTTCTCTCTTGCTTATGCCTTCTCTCTAAGATATGCATGCGCTCACAGTAGACATTGAGGCACTATTTACTCCTTAATATATATTTTTATGCATGTTTTCAGCAATTATCTTCAAACATGTGCTATGTATTTCGAAACAAATCTCAGAATTCTCTTGGCGGGGTTTTTAAACAGGAGGTTTTGTACATGAATATTCTCCTGCTTTGTCATACATTAAAAACACTTAATAGGACCCTTCCCCGTAAATCTCATTTCTGGGTGGAGGAGCTGTCCAGAGCCAGGAGATATTTTCTTAGTGACTCGTGAGCATAATGCTTCTCGCATGTCAACTTTCAGACTTATGTGGAATAACTCTTGGGTGCGACTGTCACTGTGCTAGGCAACCAAATGTCTTCTCGGCACAATACGAGAAAAGACGATTGTGGCATTATTTAATTAATAAAGGAAGAATTACAGGTCGCCGGTGTCCCTAATAAAGTGTCTGAGCGTTTTGTACATGATTCACATACAAATGAATTCATGTCTTCATCAGGTCAATCACAGATATTTGTCATCGTCATTTTGCAGGACCTCCAGGACCAAAAGGAGAGAAGGGTGACACTGGGCCACTGGGGCACACCGGCTCCCCTGGATTAACCGGTTTAAGAGGTTAGGACAGCCGACTAATGTGGAAAAACAAAGTCTAACCACTCAAAATGTAAACAGTCCAGGAACTCGTTATGCTGTGTCGTATTGGAGGTTTGTTTTGATTCCTTGTGGCTCTCTTTCTGTTCTTAAAATGGAAAACACACACACAAAAAAAAAAAAAAAAACTGAAGAAAATCAAAAACTTATAATCAGGTTCAAAATTTACAAGCCCCCATGTTGTGGAATCCGCCAGCAAAACCATGAAAAGTTTTTGGACTTCCTCCCTCCACAAACTGTGCTGTGATGCAATCCATCTGCAGATGTTTTGCTGTGTGTAAAACATGAAAAAAAAATGCACCCAAAATATGGAAACTTTTCTTCCACTTCAAACCTCTAGACCGAGGATTCTCAAATTCGGTTTTTGACGAAAGAACGGGTCCACGCTCATCTTTGAAGAACCCGTGTCAAATTTTCAGAATCTAATTTATTGTGTTTTGCAATCATACTTAATTATACCTGTGTTTAGAATTTCCTCTCTAATCTTTCTTGACAACCGCACTATGATTTTGTAATTCAATAAAAATAATAAAATATCGTATATCACGTATGGGGAGCCTCAAAACCCAAGACAGGGTTGCGGTTTTACCATTCCAGCATGCAGCAAGCCCAAGTAAACGGACACTGAAGGTTGAGTTTTCCAAGAAGTAAAACTGACTCCGGTGCAACTATACGCTTCATCCTTGACAATCGCACCATGTTTTTGCGGTCCAATAAAAATAATACAGTCTTAGTTTCTTCGCCGTGGAATCTCAAAACCTGATCCGGGGTTGCAGTGTTACCATTGCAGCACGCTGGCGTGCAGCGCGCCCAAGTAAACTGCCTTTTGGGGCTGACTTTTCAAAGAAAGCTGAGAAGCGCTCGCGAAAAACCCAAGTTGACCTTCAAGTGTGTTTTCACACCAGAGGATTGAGACTGGAGTGGCATCAAAGTCCCCGCTGCTCCTTAAGCACAACACAGCTGCTCAGCTGGCGTCGTCACGCTGTCTTACGGTAAAGGTGACGCCAGCGCACACAATTACACGCTGGAAAAACACGATTTAGGACTTCAGGGTGTGAGCGCGCGAAATGACCGGTCATCCATCTTTGTCTCGTTGGAGGTAATCCCACCATGAAGGAAACATGTGAAAGCTCATTTGTCGGCAGAGTCACATGACTTCAAGCACTCCAGTTTGCCGAGGAGATACAAATGTCGCAACGTATATCAGTACGTCTTATAATGGAAGGATGGATGTATTGTACTCAGCCAAGGCACACGTAAGGAGCAGTACAATATTTATTGACGCGAAGCAAAAAAAAAAAAAAAAAAAATGGAGGCGGGAACAAAACCGATGCCGTTTCCATTCAATTCAATTTTCGATTTTTAGGTCTCTGCGAGAGCGCTATGGATTTTTCGCAATGGTTCGTAATCCGTTTTGTGCTCTCAACCTGAGCCAAAGCAAATCGAGTCCACCGAGTCTATTAATGCCGATAGACGTCTGTGACTCGTTGCTGAGGAGCAGCCACAACACGAGAGCATACATGTGTTCCTCATTAGCGTGTTAGCTCAGAGCAGCTCTAGTGTGCTTACTGTAAACACATGCACACACACACACTCATTTCAGTGGGGAAATTTTATTGGCAGTAGAAGGGCGGGGAGGTGTGTTGGGGCAAAGATATCGCTGTTTTTCTCCACTTTTTGGCCGGGGATAAGCTTTGGAGCGTTTATGCGGCCATGTCGTCCATCAATGATGTCATGGTGGCGCGCAGGGAAAGCTGGGAATGGACCAGTTCAATTTGCGAGAACATGTTGAACGGTTGTGCGCGTCCAAGTTTTGTGGGAGCAGTTTGGGGGGAAGTTCCTTGTTCTGTTCCCAGAGCAAAACAAATGGTCCATGAAGATCGACTTGGAAGAACACAATGGCCAAGCCGGGATTTCCGTCGTTTTAATTGAAAAAGTATGCACACGTTACAGGGCAATTAGACAAGTACCCAAACGATATAGAACAATTTGAATTTTTTAAATGTCCTGTGGGCGTGGCCGCTAAATGCGCTCAAACTACACCCACCATAAAAAAAATGGATGAAAAATAGTTTGAGCAGTATATGTGCTTAAAGCCTCAGGTTGGCATCAGGCTTTTCCATGGCACCACAACGAGGCACTCCAAAGTGGCCACACCAACATGAAGCCCCCGGTCCACAACGCTGACTGTGTTCCGTGTTCTCCAATTCTTTTTCCCTCCTTGTGCCTTTCTCATCATGGTTTGCGAGCACTCACAGCTGACAATGAGGCACTCTAAAGCAGCCATGCCAACGGACTATCCGAAGGGAAAATCCAGGTGTGAGGAAGTTAGCTCACTCCTATTTAAATATTTAAATATTTTTATGATCATTTTGTTTGGTCTTTCCAGTCGAGTAAAACAATTTTCGACCCTACGCTTGGAGGCCAGGTCCTCTTTCACCTCCATGACCTCAGATTGCACAAAAGAACAATAATTCCCTGAAATCTTGTGGGAAGTCTTCTCAGCACTTCACTTTATCCACATTTTGTTACAAAAACAAACAAACAAAAAAGAACTCACCTTGACTATATATGTATGTGTTTATGTCTCTTTCAGGGTTTTCTGGAGAAAAGGGCATCCAGGGACTTCGCGGTATCAAAGGATCCAGTGGTGACGATGGCCGTCAAGGAGAAAAGGGCGATATCGGACCCGTCGGTCCAAAAGGTGGGTGAAAGGCAAAGATAGGTACAAAACTTGGGAGGTGCACCAAAAAGTGACACCCACCGGACATCCAGGGTGTGTGTGTTGAGCTGCGGGTTGCCCAACACCACATGGCAGGTGTGGCAATAGTCTCCAAGGTAAAAATAAAACCAAATTAAAGCCCAGTGACTAAAGAAAAAAAAAAAAAAAAAAAAAAACAGACCTCTCGGGTGAAAACGAGCAACAAATGGCACCCCCGACAGATTTGAAGGTCAGCCCTGCGGTTTTTTTTTGGATCACAAGTCTGTTTTGTAAGCAAGCGAGATGCTTTGCTTTTCAAGCTGCCAATGGAGGCAGAAACCACAAACAGGAGGAAATTTCATTTACGACCGTTTCACACTTTGATTCCCTCGAGGCAGGCTGGTGGCCTCTGACCGTTTAATTTAGACCCAAAATGTTTCACCAGTCAAACAAGTTGGAAGTTGGAAAAAAAATTTAAAAAAAGGAAAAGTGAATTCTGCCAAAAACAAGATGACGCCTTCCAATTTCCTCTTGTGTTGTGTCAACAGGGGAACGAGGAGAACGAGGGATGAAAGGAGACAAGGGTGACAGAGGAGAAAAAACGGGTGAGGATCAATCGTAGTCCTTTAAATTCATGACTTTTTTTTTTTTTTGTGATCGAATGTGTGAGAAGTTCAGCAAATGCAAATAGTCCGCAACAAAATTGCAAAATAATTCCGTCGTATGACTTGAATGGAAGTCTTTGGAAATGCGTCCCATGCTAATTTGTCATTCTCAACTAAGTGGCGAATTTATGAGCTGATAATTTTACAGTCTCTTGAAACACACACACACACACACACACACACACACACACACCTGCTCAGTCAAACGGATCTACTGTCGCTTATGTGCTTGTAGCTCTGCTTTGCATTAAGACTTCAAACACATCAGAGGCTAACGTTAGGAATTCTATCCAGTACTCTGGGGGGGAAAAAAAAAAGAATCAATGACGCAATGGTACACATTTTTCTCCATCATCTAAATGTTCTTGTAAAGTGCCGATGGATGTTTGTGTCACACAGGAAGTGCGGGGCATGGTTAGCACCTTTGGCATTTTGTTAGCCCGCACGCGCTACATACACAACATGCATAAAAAGATGAATGGAAGACAAAGATAACATGGTGAAGTTAAGACTAACCTAGTCTAATTATTTTGGGGAAGTTATGACAAGCTGAATGATTTCAGAGCGAGAATGTTAGCATAACGATGTTAGCTTTTAGCCTTTTTTCGGGGTTTGAATTTCAGCGGCCCAAAGTCTATATATGGAAGTTCCAACAGTACTTTCAATTTGGATCATTGTCGGAATTTGTCTTTGACAAGCTAAGCTGCGAGTATTTTCCAGTTTCCTGTTTTTGTCTTTTGGTTTTTGGATTGAGGCCATGTTGGAGTTCTTCCAAGGAATTAAGCTAATATGTACATTTTCATTTAATGTTCTCCTTCACTACTGATTATATGACTTATGAGTGAACATTTACAGATGCAGCAACGTGAATGTTTTGATTTCAGTTGTCAGGTCCACCAGATTAAGACCAGACTCGGATGAATCGTATTTATTATTACATCAAAGTCCTTTTGGGAAAGTGAAAAAAAAATGAATGCAGTTTGTTTGATGTGTAAGGTTGAAACCGAGCCACATTTCATTGAACAATTGTTAGTCATACACAAATGTCCCGCACATGGGGAATTCCCCCAGTCCTGACACATTTCATCTTTTGTCCTCTCAGTGGAAGACACCCTGGTACGACTGGTGAATGGGTCGGGTCCCCACGAGGGCCGTGTGGAGGTCTTCCACGAGCGGCGCTGGGGGACGGTGTGCGATGATGTGTGGGACAAGAAGGATGGCGACGTCGTGTGCAGGATGTTGGGATACCGAGGGGCCACCGAGGTCCACAGGACGGGACGCTTCGGACAAGGTAAGGAAAAAAACAAAACAAAACGAAAGTCTCAAACACACAGACATGGATGCTGATTCTGTACCAAGTTAATTAATACATACTTAAATATCGGGAAATCCCCAAATGATCCCAAAATGTTTGTCTAATCGTTAGCCTCAATGTGTTTTCTTCATGGCTTTGTTCCTGTTTAGGCAGCGGTCTAATCTGGATGGACGACGTAGCGTGCAACGGCTCTGAGGCCGCTATCCATCAGTGCAAGTTCTCCGGTTGGGGCAAAACCAACTGCGGCCATGTGGAAGACGCTGGCGTCACATGCCTCCGCTAACGAAACTTGAAATCCCTTACAACCGATCCATTCCTTTGGTCCTTGGTCCTGGACATGTTGTCGTAGTTGTTGCTGTTGACCCGTGGCAAGTGGACCCGTTTTGGTTGACAAGATGGAGATAGAGACTTTCAAATGAGAGACCTATCTTGGAAACGAACCTCTATTTTGGCATAGCCGATGCCACACACACAAAACTTCTGATCTTCTGGTCAGCACAATTTTGTGCTTCGAAAAACTTCTGATCTTCTGGTCAGCACAATTTTGTGCCCTATTATGAGGACCCTATTGAAAGAGATTCCTTTCTTTTAGTTATTGTCTTTATTTGCGTTATTCTGGCAATGCAATAGTTGCCTTACCAGCTATACCAGCACACACTTTCTTCTACCCGTGACATATAATCTGTTCACACCATACACGTAAATACTCAGTGCGAGTATGATGTTCCTAAACTTGTCCAACTTGTTGGCATTTCTCTTCCTCGTAATGGATGAGACAAGCCGAGCTTCTTCCCATAATCTTTAGCTTGGCCGTGATATCGTGATACATCATTGAAGAATCTATGCAGTCAAATGTACAGGAAGTCGGACATTTTGTTTGGTATAGTTGTTTAACAAAAACCAAGACAACAGAGATTTTAACCTGTTTTAGTTGGAAAGAGGTGCTCGTCGTTAGCATCGCACGCGTTCGCGGTGTGGTTCACATTACAGCTCACAGTGTTGTTTAAAGGCGTCACATTCTGACGGAGCGAAAGTGTCGCCAAAGCTAACATGCGGCTTCCATTTTGTTTATTTTCCCTGTCCCCCTTTGTCATCACAACATGTCTCGTCTGGAGGCCACAGGGACGCAAACAGGATATTCTCCACTCTTCTCTGCGTATTTGCTTGCCGCGGTGAGACGAGACATGCCAGTTTGGCCGCTAACGTGCCGGCGCGCTAACATGCAAACGAAGGAATGTTTTGGTTAGTTCATTGGAACGAAACTGTTGTGATATTGTCTTGGATGAATCCACAAAATTGTTGGGGACTCGTCTCTAACTAATTGCTACGTGAAACATCAATGGAATCGATCAGACTGTTTTTGTTCGACCACGCATTTTTTGATATTCTGAATTCGTGGGGCACAGTCATTTCTGCCCTGAAGTTCAATGGGACAAGATATAATCTCATTTCAAAAACAGGAAGTGCGCAAAGGAAATGTTTCCAAAAAAATTTGAGTCTGAAAATGAATGACTCTTCTGTATGGAATATAAAATCCATTGAAGAAAAAAAAAAAATCATCGTCTTCAGCTAGTGGGGCACTGTTCCAGGTGTCCCTAACGAAAACAGGCTAGCTAAAAACCCAACTTTAATTGAATTGTTAATACAATTTGGAACAACAGGGGCAATGCCCCACAAGTCTCTAATAGGAAGCCAAACATCCACTGCTGTATAAAATATTAAGGACATATCAACCAGAAGGGAATCTGAAGCACCTCTGGCACTACCCCAAGTGCCCGTAATTCACACAGGAAGCAAAAAAATTCCCGATTCCTGGCTGGCTGACTGATATTTTCTCACGGCATTGAAAGTAGTCATGTGATCTCCCATTTGGGCCGATACCTTAGCCTCATGCGGTTAAATACTTGTACGTTGTACCTTTTGAAAATGAGACGTGCTCTTAACCACTTAAATGTGGTTTCATTTTTTTGTTTTTAACACATTCTTGGTTCCATATCATTCATCTGTTTTTTTTTTATCATGGCGCGTCGATTATTCAACATTTACTGGAAGGGCTACAGTGACTTAGAAACACCCCAAATATTTGATAGTACATTGTTTGATTTGTACGTCAACTACTAAATGCTGCATATGCACTGCTGACATAATAAATGTGTTTAAACAGGTGAGCTCGCTTCTCTCTGGCGTCGTCCCTTGATTGGCAGCTCAAAGGTGCAATTTATGTACGAATGTTTCCACATGTGACACACAGGTAGATACATGTGACCTTGTAATTGGAGCCAACTTTTCAAAAAATAGAGATATAATACGATAATAATTTAATACAATCATAAACCAATTTCCCTGAGGGGTTCCAAGTCAAAAGCAGATGAACACATGAGCATAAATACGATAAATAGGAAGTAACTTGCGAAATACTAAGAAATGAAAAAAAAAAACTGTACTGTACTCTGCTCAATTAGTATTTTTTGGTTTAATTGTGTGTAAGGAATTTACTCTTGTTGCTATTTTACTGAGAGTAAAGCTGCTCCCTACAAATGTTAGCATGCGCCGACGTGGCTGAACCTCGACTCAAAATAGTTGACAATTCACTATCGTGTTAGGTTTTCTCCAATGTTCGGTTTATTTTTCACGTAATGACAGTTTTATGGCCTCCAGGCATATTCCAAACTCCCATTTGAAAGGTCCAGCTTTATGATGCTCACTTAAATAATTTGCCTGATGTCATAAATCCTCTCATCAATGTATTGATTTACAGCACCCGGGGCGGCAGTATTTCATTTTCCAATAAAAGAAAAATATGAACCTGCCACGAAAAATATCTCTTCATCCTTTTTGCAGCCGAAGATGCGTTTCGAAGGCTAGCAATAGGTTTCTTTAATTCGCTTACGTAGACACTGATACGACTGATAGGTGCCTTGAGATACATGTCAGCCAAGTTTTTCAAGATACAAGTCGTTTTGCCGATTTTTTTATTTTATTTTTTTTTACTTTGACTTGCAAGCATATCACCTTAATGTTTTCTTTTCTCAAGATGAATGTTTCATTAGGCCAGAGCTGTGAGCAGGTGTGCACAGGGACACATTACTTTGTCATTTTACCCTCTTGTGACCATGTTGTTTAACTTAACTCCTCTTCGTGTTATCAAGCGCAGCGCAACATGTGCCTGCGTAGACCGCAAAACATGAGCTCATTTCCCCTGTAGGGGGAATAAAAGAGGAATGGTGAGGAAAGATGAGAGCGCAACAGTCTTCTCCATCCAGTGCCTATTGTCGCATTCCTGCTCTTCGGCTTCAAAGTAACAGTTCTGCCCGGGTTAAAGGTCACAGGGCGGGGGACAAACTGTGCTGTGTGAAGAAGAGGGAAACCTGGAGGTCAATGCTATTCCCTGGTATGTAGCAGACAAATGTATTCATAAAAACACCACAATGTGCTTATTGTGCTGATAAGTTGAGATCGCCTGTAATTTATAACTGAATGGCAGTGTTGTCCTCCAGCGCAACTCAAAAAGAAAAAAACATTCTAACCACTGAATGCACGCGTCCAACCATTATTATTCCTGCCAAGGTAAAAAAAACAAACACCCAAACTATACTAGAATGAGGAATAACGTACAACCACAAGCAAAGCTAAAGTGTTGTTTTAACAGTGGTATTGAAATAATACATTTGGCCACACAAAGGGCTCAATTTCCAAATTGACTTGTCATGGAGAATGTATTCGTTTTGATTAGTTTTTAATGTCTATCACATCGTCGAAATGAATTTATGTAACGTACGCGCAAAGTCACTGAACTCTGGTGGAGAAAAGTTTTATGGCAACTACGACGAGTTACATACTCGCTGTATATAGTTTAAACAAAACCATATGCCTCATTAATAGTCATTACTAAATGAATAACATAAAGAAAATAAATTGACCGTACTTTCATGCAAACCTTATATAGCATTACTTTTTATTGTGTTCATTTAATGGTTAGCGACTTCCGCATTGTTTGTCCCTTCAAGGCTTCCGTCAACGTTTCTTATGACGTCGACATTTTGAAAGTTCGGCGCGATCATCACACGTCATTAGTTCCTGTTCACAGTGAAAAGCAGGTAAAAAAGCGTTTTTTTACAGAAACGAAACAACCTTTTGGGAGCAATGTACGCTCACTGGCTACTTCTCGGTGGCAATCGCTGTTCGAACCGTGTTTTGGACTCATCGCTTGTTTTGTTGTTCAGGGAGTGTTCGCTTCATTGCTGATCATTTGCATCAATAGTCAAGACGTCTCGTACGTTTTTTGTGTGGTTTACATCACACGCACGAATATCTAATGCACGTTTTTGCGTTATAATACTAATGCAAACTTCAAAGCTCAACACAAATACAAAAACATGACACCAAAAACCCCAACAAGTATCATTGGATTCTGACGGGGCTTACGTAACAAAAAACCCAAACAAACCAAGTGCGATAGAAATTAATGAACGGATTAGAATCATAGTAAATTGTCCACGTGTTTGTATTCGACAGTATGGCTGAATTCACCACCCCCCAGATGTCCAGAATGAGGAGTGTCAGAAGCGGGGGAGGAAGCCCCCTCCACATACCGGCCTCACCATTTATGAAGAAGCTTGGCTGTGGGACGGGAGTCAGCGTCTACCTGATGGACAGGTGACATGTGGCCGTCATGCCATCTTCACGTGAAATCAGCTCACTAATTAACTCATCAGTTTCATTCCAGAGTAGGGCAGGTCAATGCATCGCCTTGGGCCATCAAGAAGATCAACAGCAAATGTGCTAGCAAACAGGTCGAGGTCTACCAAAAGCGTCTGAAGGAGGAGGCAAAAATCCTCAAGGGAATCGACCATCCAAATATTGTCGGTGAGAGCCCAAAATCTCAACTCTCTCACTAAAATTTTGCTGTCTACATTCCACCCTGGGTTAATGTCCTCATCCAATAATTGCAAAGCTAAACTTACCTGACTGATTTCTGGGTGTGGACTTGCAGGATTCCGGGCATTGGCCACGGCCAAAGATGGCTCCAAGTGTCTGGCCATGGAGTTTGGAGGAGAGCAGTCACTCAACGACCTCATCGAGAAGCGCAGAGAAGACCGTCTTCAGGCCTTTCCTGCCGCCGACATTGAAAAAGTGGCGCTTCACGTGGCCCGAGGGCTGCAGGTTAAAAACCATTTTGACTCGTGTTCATTTATTTTAGGTCCGTATAAGGTGATTCCAAGGTCTTGTGGGCACTACATTTATCTTTCTAATGGGAGCACCGGTGTGACCAGTTTTCTTAGTTGCTCCCACCAGCACACAGCACAATTCATTGTTGTCATTCTATTTGTTAATAATTATGACCGCAAAGAAGTTCTGAGATACCCCCTCTCAACGTGACATCGCGTTCCGTCTGCAGTATCTTCACAATGAGAAAAAGCTGCTGCACGGCGACATGAAATCGTGCAACGTGGTCGTCAGGGGCAACTTCGACGCCATCAAGATCTGCGATGTGGGCGTGTCCCTCCAGCTGGATGAGAACATGACAGGTAGCGCAACACTGCCGGCGCACAATGTGTGTTTTTAGATGTCGCACAAAGAGATTTATGTTTTTTTTTGTGGGGGGCAGTGTCGGACCCGGAGGTGGAGTATATCGGAACGGAGCCCTGGCACCCCAAGGAAGCCTTAGAGGGGTGCGACATCACAGACAAGGCCGACATCTTTGCCTACGGCCTGACCTTGTGGGAGATGATGACCCTGGCCGTGCCTCACATGGACCTGCTGGAGCATGAGGATGAAGAGGAGCAGGACGAAGGTGAGATGCTTTGGAAGAGGCTGTGGGAAGATAAAAGCGAAGAAGCGTGTGGCTCAGAGCCATCAATTTTATGTTGGTGAGCGATTTTAAATGACTGGAATGTTGTGGTAGGTTTGCTGTGTCATAAGCGACACGGGGGCAGGGGGGTTATTTGAAGCGGGGTTTTTGTTTGTTCGAGCGCCCGCCGAGATTGAGGTAAATATGCATTCTTTTTTTTATATTTTTTAAAAATTGTACATCAACGTTATGATAACACAGTGGATATAAAAAGTGTACACACCCCTGTTCGAATGAGATTTTTTTTGTGATGGCGGAGGGATGTGGGGGGAGACCAAAATGAATCTTTTCAATACAAATTTCAAACTCAAATGTTAAAAGGGAGTCAGAAGATACTTGCCACCATTTCAAGTGCCTCTGATGAAACCCCAATCAAGCTCAGATGTTCTAGTAGGCTTTTCCTGACATTTTCTCGTATGCTGGTGAGCGATTTTAAATGACTGGAATATTGTGGTAGGTTTGTCATAAGCGACACGAGGGCAGGGAGGTTATTTGAAGCGGGGGTTTTTGTTTGTTCGAAAATAACCTTGGACAATGAGCCACATACTGCTTCACCATTCCTTAATCATCCCCAAATCTCCTCCTTTCAGACGAGGCAAGCTTCGACGAGGACGCCTACTACTCGCGGCTGGGCACGCGGCCACCGCTAGACCCCGAGGCGCTTGGCGAGTCCTACAGGAGGATGCTGGAGCTCTTCTATGTGTGCACCGAGGAGGACCCCAAGAGGAGACCTTCGGCCACGCAGATTGTGCAGGCGCTGGAAGGCAACTCGCTGATTCACCAAAAGTAGAGCAGGCAGTGAGGTTTGAGCATCCTTATCAATGTTTATTTGTCACCGTTTGTCATTATTCTTGTATACAGTAAACGCATTCCCCTGCCTGATTACGTATCTGGCACTTCATCGGATCCACAGTCACGACACGAGCTGCGGCCAAATTTACGCTGATAGTGCTCAGTTTTGATTGACAGTCGGAGGGGAATTCATTTTTAATGTTCAATGTGCTTTTCGTGTGCAGGTACATGCACTACGAGAAATATTAAACAATGTCTCCTAATGGCAACCTCAAATGATTTTTTTATCATGGGAATTGTTGATCGAGCTCCAATGTGATTTGAATTGAAAATGTGTACTGAATTTTCAAAGATTAACTGGTTGCCATATACGTATGCTACATTTACATGATATTAAAGCAAATTTTATTCCACCGCTATGCGCGTCAAGTCATTTTCCCACCAAAGAAATCAAGTGCAGGGAATTCAAACACCGGTTGTTTATTAAAGCTTCGAACAGAATCCTCTTCCCAAAACAATTTTTTTCGATCGAGCTCCAATGTGATTTGAATTGAAAATGTGTACTGAATTTTCAAAGATTAACTGGTTGCCATATACGTATGCTACATTTACATGATATTAAAGCAAATTTTATTCCACCGCTATGCGCGTCAAGTCATTTTCCCACCAAAGAAATCAAGTGCAGGGAATTCAAACACCGGTTGTTTATTAAAGCTTCGAACAGAATCCTCTTCCCAAAACAATTTTTTTTCCCTCACCCCCTTTCAAAAGGACAGGAAAATTCAGTTGTGAAGAGTTGACACAGCCTGAAAGCTGAAAAAAAAATATTTCAGACAAATAAAAACCATCAACGAGAAGTTATTTCCATGTAAACATCTGCAATAAAACTACAGCAAATTTACAACACTGCCCTGAGCTGAGAAAAAAAAACTCTCAATACTAATCAAATTGACTCTATCTAAACCAAAGTCAGAGTCATTCCCAGGCAGCGCAACGATCGCTTGGACCCGTGCGATCAATTCAAGCGATGAAGTTGTAGACAAGGAAGGTGGGCGTGCCGCAGTACGCCGTCGCAAACTGTTTGCCGTCCGGCGTCGGGTCGGAGAAGGCGATTTCCTCCTTTGTCAGGTGACTGCCGTACATGAAGGTGCTCCTTGAACGGAAGGGAATGTTGTAGGTGTAACCAATGTCAACATCGGACTTGAGTTGCTATATTTAGCAATTTTTCAGACTTATCTAAGCAATTATTTTTTTCCCCAAAACATTTTACAGTCTGTCTTTCGAGTCGGTCTCTATTTAAGCCAACTTGTATAAATGAGACGACTAACAGTGACACAATCTCGTAACGTCAGTTAGAACACAGCCGGTGGTAACCGAGGCCCCAAAATGGCCGCCTACCTGACCGTGTCCAACATGCGGCGGGCGACGCCCTGGCGCCGGGCCAGGCTGAAGACCCACACGCGACTGATGCCGCAAAGCGCCTTCTCTGGCACGGTGGAGCAGCACCACGCCCGGTGCCGGTCCATGAAGTCGTCTTTGGTCATGTCCTTGATCTGATCCGGCTGCTCCAGGACTTTGAAGGCCTACGGGGGAGACAAGAAGTTGTTCTTCCTCAACCAAACTCATCCAAGCATTCTTCGAACAGGATTTTTTGCAGATAGCAAATCGACTAAATCAATAAGGTGATGATTTCATACTGCCAATACTCGTATTCACTCGCCTTTTTTTTATGTCATCAAAATGTCCTTCAATAGATCTTAAGTTTTACATGATTGAAATGTCCTTAAAGGCACTTCTTCCTTCAAGCAGAAGATAAACCGGAAAAGGACCCCCCCCCCCCCCACC